ACGTCTGATCTGTTAAAGATACGCAAAAATGCAATTAGTTTTGTGGGCAAAATAAAGATAACCTTTCGGTGGAAAAACTGCTCTACATTACATCAGGCTTGTTTTTTAATACATGAAAATAGCATAGGAAATTGAATTCTTCAGCAATGAATACCTTAAAAGATATTATCACTGTGCCACACTGCTGAAATGAAATGAGTTAAGAAGTAGCACAGAATAAGTACTGCGGTAAAATTTTAAAACTTGGACTCGTACTCGGGATAAAAATACGTAAGAGAATAAATAAGAGAAGGTTAAAAGGTATTATTGGATGCAAAAGAAATGAAAAAATGAAACAGATAAAAATTATGTCTAAAAGAAATGAAAGACAAAAACTATAATCGAAAGCACTGATCATTAAAAATGGTGTAAAATAAAGTTTCAACTTGCGTAAGACTAACTGCCCTGCGATAGCTTGGAATGAACGCTAGAAAATCGGTACTTTCTCAAATGGAAAGCAAGAGAACAGCAGTTGCAAGTGCGAGGAGTCATAAATTAGAGCAGATATTTGAATATTAAATTAAGTTTTGTACTAATTACGAGAAATCAATTTGATTGCTTTTTAGCGAAAGAAAGCGAAAAATAGTTGCGAATCGAATCACTTTTCGGATTAAAAAATTACTTAGTGATAAATCATAAATTGCGCTATTTCACAAGATGCAAACAACATACTCAATGACAATTATTGTTGCTCCACCTCTGATTATTGTAGTTTCAAACATTAATCGTTTCCAGCAACTTTTGACACGTATTATTCATGAAAACAGCTGAATTGCGAATTTTGCTTGAGAAAGGATAAAAGTTCACAATAATTTGCAGATATGTATCTCGATATTACAGTTATACTACTTGATTTCACAAGCACGCTTTCATTTGAAAGCTTTTGAAAATTTGAAACAGAACAAAAACTGAAACAGACAGCGTGAATTCTTTTAGCTGAATGGTTACAACTACTTATTATGTTTATTAACTTCTGAGTATTATGCTATATCACATTCAAATATTTTTCAAATCAAGCTTACAATTCTATAAATTCCAAGCATGCTACAATGATACATGACAAAAAACCAGTTTCGACCAAGAAGAAAATCTGCATGCGATTCATTCAAGCAAAAAACATGCAACTTGCTTTAAAGTAAACAAGAAGTTAGCCCCATTTACAATGAGAGGCAATAAAAGTTGATATAAAGTGGAGAACTGCTTTCTATCTCGTCGAGCATTTTACAATGCCTCAAGAATATTCAATTACATGATCAGTTCTTGATAAATTCATAGATTTTCACAATACAAGCAATCCTTGCCATCCATTCTTATTGTTATTCATTTCTTTCTTCCTTCAAATTTTCACTCCTTTTATCGAGATTTGTAAGCTTATCAGTAGAATAAGTGAATTAGTAGAATTTTATTGCTACCACATGAGGATGACATAACAGCTTTGGAACAAAAAACAATCAGAGGTGAAAGGTTACGACCTTTGGAATTAAGGCAGTATAAAATAAAAAATACAAATAAGGGAATAAATAATAACAGATCAGACTGCACTGAAGTTGTATTACTTTAATTCAAAAGAATGTAAGACAAACTGATTACTTGAAGGAAAGACTAGAATTTGCATTCAATAATAAAATAAAATTGGAAACATTCAGTGCAAGATCAGTGGCTTGTAATTCAGATCAGTTTTTGAGGCTAAGAAATGTTAAGTGAACGTGATTAAAGTATTTTTCTTCAGCAATAAACATTTTCAAAAATTTTGCACAATTAAAAAATTAGCAGTTTTTTTTCATCTGAAAATTCTCATACATAAAAGGGAAAACTTATAAATTAACTGGAATATTTACGCTGCATCTCACAAGATATTTATTTCCAGAACTTGTCAAGATTGCTACGTTTAATGCTAACCAGTGAATCTTTTCTGCCCTTTTGCTATAAAATACCGCAAATTTTGTAAAAAAGTAATTTAGCACTATCAGTCCACAACTTCTTATCAAAATTAAACTACATTTTACGCTTGAATCAACAAATGCACGAAATACTTTTGTACCGAAATTTCATGACAGAAACAGAACTGAGCAAATGTGTGTATTTTTATTACAGCTAAATTTTGTTTGCAGATAAAAAGTGAGTGGAATTAGCCTGAAATTTAGCTCACAACATTTATAGCAGATCAAATAGGAGACTGAGGTTTGTATGAGACATTCACAGCACTTGAAAATGGTGCACTGAAACCAGATAACATTTTTGTATTGAAAGTCAAAACATACGATAAAGCGAGCAAATGCTAACGTGCAGTGCGTGAATGTTATGCAAATAAAAGGCTAAACTGCTGCTCTAAATATAATTCTACTTTTTTGCCACTTTCTCAATGATACAATCGCTTGGCAAACACACTCAGTTCTAACATTGTTTTGTTGCATTGCTGGGTAAATAAGCACTGAATCTAACTTTTAAAGCAAAAAGTTAGAGGCGAACATTTCCACTATGATAAGTTTCTCACGCACGTAAACAACTATTTTTAAAAACAAAAGGACAAAATTCATCCCGCCATCAATTTATTAAAATGCAAGGATGACACTTCTCATAGCATGCGAACTTGTTACATACCTTTCTCGAAGAGTTTCCTCACGTAACCAGACTATTCTGAATCTGATTCTATCTTCTATAAATTACTGACTTGACTGAATCTACAAAAGTATTTTTTATTGGTCCATGTGCTATCATTACCAGTACCTTAGCTAACTGTGATGAAAAACTGTGCAAAGTTATTTTTAAATGCAATACTTTATTTAAAGGAATTAAAGCTTTACAATAACCTCACAACCACAAGAATAAAATATTCTGTTTAACAAATATACTGAAATAACTAAACAAGTCACCAAGCTAAAATATGTGAATTTCTCGGCATAAATGGTATATGATTATGGAAGCTCAAGTATGCACTCTGCCTTTTATAAAAGCTATTTTTTATAGTAAATGCTCAGGAAGAAGAAAAATTTGATAACAACTGCACTGACTTTCACAAATATTGAAAATCGTGTGAGGGCATTTTCAATAAGTATTTTGCTTAGCTGTGCTTATTTTGACAGCAATGCGAAAAGCACGCGAAATTCGTAAAGACTGCACTTCGCAATAGTAAATTATAGATTACTTGTAATTTCCTCTTTGATTACTGACAATGAGTACAGGTACAGCTCCATGAAGTACTGCACTTGCAAACTTTCGAAAGCAATACAAAACTGATATGTCAGATGCTGATTCGAGAAGAATGCACATGTGAAGAAGAATATTGAGGGGGAATGAAATCAAAATCAGACAGAATGCAAAAGACTGGTCATAAATGCTTTGCTTTCTTGGAAAACACTTGAAAATAATCGCTGCTTCTGAACTACTCACAGCAACATTTCATTATTAATCCCATGACAGCCAAGATTATCAATACATATAATGAAATGCTAGCTCAGAAAGATGCATAGTAATTATAAAAATTTAGATCGGAATCCCATATTAGTGTACTGCCCCGTTAGAAATAGAAAAAACGTCTTTCTCCGTAACCATAATGATAAGCAAAATGGTAACAACAGTTGATAAAGCCTTTCATTATTCGATTGCAATCAATAAACTGACTTTAGAAACCCTCATCTACAGTAGCGGGCAGGTTTATTTACTTCCACAATTATTTTATTCTACAACTACCATTTATAAAAAATGTAGAAAGAAGAAGTTACGAAGATTTCAGCATGAAACTGATTCTTTTTCATAGTTTCTACAAAGCAGTAAACTTCAGAGACTGACAAAAACTTTGAAAATCTCTCAGCAATGATCAGCACACATATCTGACGTTCAATCACATTAATTCAGATTTTATCTACACTGTAAACAGTACTGAATACATTTGTATCAGTGGCAATTATTCTACAGTAACAACCAAATTTTTGCACATTCTCATGCTTAAAAGCTTGTATTGTTATGAGAGCTCCGGATGATAGTTGATGAGAGCTATTTCTATCAGCACCTGCAAGCCATTCATCTAATAGAAAACGTTTTCCTGCCCAAATGCTTGCTAGCAGACGATTTTATGCAAATTAAGACAGTAAAAAATGTAATACTTCGAGAGAGAAAAAAGGTCCAGCTAAAAACGCGATGCAATTTGAAAGCTCCCTCAAAAGGGCATGAGTGTAAAAAGCTGTCCCTCACATTAGTATTATGACTGAATCATAGAGTAAGCTTTGACAAGCGATTGAAATATTAAAATCCATGCACAATCAAATCTGATCGTGCATGAATAGAGTGCGGTATTCTAAAAAAAATTTTTCTGATGTAGTATTTCCAAACTATTTCACCAGTAGTTGCATACAGCGAGGGTATGCAACGCGGTCTTTTTCTATGGTTAGTATATTGAGATATCTTGTTGGTTTAAGAAAGTAGTTAACAATTTCAGATGGTTGGATTAAGTGAGTGGTGTGCATATACTTTCAGGTTTCACAGTTTGAAGTAATTTCATGTCTTGAGACTGCTCAGAACTGTTTTCATGTATGCTATCGTGGCCGTGAAATATATTTGTTTGAAATATTTGTATTAGAAAAGTCTAATTTTTTATAATATATTTTCTCTGTTTAAAAATTGAACCATAGTTCTACTATTTCTGTGGTAGTCTCAGTCGAAATATGCTTTGGGCTTTCATCAAAGTACTTTTATAATTACAAATTCACTTATAATTTTTCGTTAGTGTGTTTTGCATTCATATTCTACTAACCACATTATGTCATCGCGAACAAATAAAAAATGGTTGTTGGCGTTTAATTTTTTACATCAAATTGCTTTGCAAGCACTAAGTCTAACAGTTAAGTCAGTTATACTTAACAAAGGATTTTCATATTGCGGCTGATATTTAGAGGAGTTCCAAAAAGTAGTCATCATTTTAGCAAGAGAAACCTCTAATTTCAGATCTTTGAAATTGATTTAGGATGCCGGGAGCCTTCGAAGATTTGTTGAGCAAGTCCGATCGGTTATGTGTGCCAACTAATAACGTTTCTAAAGTCTCTTCGGTAAATTTGTCCTCAGTAATTTTTGTAACCAAAAAACTAATAGTTGACTTTACAGTTTTTTATTTTCAATTATAAAAGTTTTTAATGTATTAGAAATTAGAACCTACGTATCATTCCCTTAATAGTGTAATTATTATGGAGCTTCAAAGTTCTCTTATCATTAGCACTGTTCTCAGAAACTGAAAATAAAGTAAAGGACATATTGACAGCCAAAACTCAGAAATTCATAATATGCAAAGACTTAAGGAATAATTGTACCAGAAAAATTAAAAATTTTATCTCTTAGAACAATCACGAGACACGTGTTGATCTCGCATTAAATGATGTTTTTCGACGCAGTGAAGATTTGTGGAAGAGAAAGACACCCGTTGGAAAACGTTCACTAGATGTAGAAGTACGTACAGTTTTTGTTTGTTATTTATTCACTAATTATCTCAACTACTGTTGTTTAAGGTTGGTTTACTACTTGGTGGAAAGGGTTTCTCAATTATCTCAGTACCACAAATCCAAGACGAGGAGAAAGAAGAAGAAGAGAGAAATTCTGTTTTACCATCTAGAGATTGTGAAGAAATGTTGGATGAAATGATTGAAGAAACTGCAAAACGAACTCATTTAGAAGCAGAGAAAGCATTTATCAATCAACGTATTGTTGATGAAACTTATGCACTACCCAAATTTGCAACAAAAGATGCTGACCTTACCCAAAATCCGTTGTCGGTATCTTATATAGCATTGGTTACTTTTCAAAAGTTGTCATTAGGGTAAAAATTACTCCACATTTTTATTAATTAAATATAAGTTAAATAGTATCATTAAATGAAGGTCTCAGGTAGCAATCTTCAATTAGTAAGATATAGTTTGTTCAGTTTTTTTCCTGTATCTTCGGTTTTGCAAATTAATTTTTTTGCACTACATTTGACGTAGTTTTGCATTACTTTGCAGAAACTGTTTGTTGTTTTTATTAGCATTTTTTTAAGAACCAGGAAGGATAAAAATTATGCTAGATAATTTGTATTGAAAATTTATTTTGAATATAACAGTTTTGCAGGAATCGGTTGTTGATTCCACAAAACCAATTAAGCAAGGAGATAGTATCGAATTAGCATTTGCTAAAACTGTATGTTCACTTGTGAATTCTTTTCAGAAGTAAAAATGAATAGGTTTATTTGTGCATTAATTAGAAGAAATCGGAAATCAAAACTCAAAATTTTGCAATGATAACAACAAGGGCAAGAATGCAGCTTTTTTTAAATTGCCGTTTTAGGTATCTGATTATATAGTGCACAAGAACGTAGAAAAATTAGCAAAATCTTTCAAAGAGGCTGCATCAAATTCACGTGATGATGGAATAGTTTCTTTGTGGGATCAAGTTCTTGCACCTTTGGATGATTTTACTTCTTCTAATGATTCTGCTCAAAACTTTCGCTCTTCATTGTCCTGGACAAAACATGTCGTTAGCACAACTCTTGATTTTCTTCACAAAAAGTAAATCTCATTTTTTTTATCGTAAAAAGGTGGATTAAGATCACTGCATCTTTTTAACATATATTAAAGTTGATTCTAAATTCTCAGATGAGAGCACTGTAAACATTTTCGATGATTTTGATTCGAAATCATTCATTCACATAAAGTAAAGATATCTACAGCTTTACTTCACACATGGAGGTAGTCGTGGAAAATAATCTAGCGATAGCTCAAAGAGGTGGTAATCCGACGATGTTATCACTTATCGATGCTTTTCTAAATGTCAAGTATTACAAGTCAATTCAGCGACACACTCAAGTAATAGTAAATTTGCAGCTTTCTGAAATCTAGTTTCTTGAAATTTTTTAATTGCTCTTTTACTGTACTGGAATTATTTAGGATGGTGTGTATGGACAAAATGGACACAGTTTGTGGGAAGTTGTTTATTACTGTTTAAGAGCTGGGGAACTTGAATCAGTTGCATCAATAGCAAATTCACATTTAAAAAACTTACCATCTTGTGCAGCTGCCTCAATAGCTTTACTTGAACTTGAGAAGACAAAAAAGTAACTTCTTTCGAAATTTCTACACTCTAATGAAGAAAAGAAAGTTATAAGCTCATTCATGTTTGCTTAAAGAAAACTCTTTAGGATATCAGTTGATGTTCGGCTGAAAATAAAAGCAGAGTGGCGTTGTGAGTCGAGAACGTTTGTAGATATTTATAAGAAAGCTGTGTATTGTGCCCTTCTTGGCGGCGATGTGCCTGAAGTTTGTAGTAATTTAGAGAATTGGTTGTGGTTGAAATTATATCCATGTAGTTTAGATCCATCGCTTTCTCCAGCAGTTTTCAAGGAACTTCAGCGACTCATATCTATTGATTATGGTAATTTATTACTTTTGGTATTTTTAATTTAATGTGAACTTTTTCGTGAATTACTGGTAAGGATTAAAAAGTGTATAAATAATACAGAAGAATGATCATACCTTAAATCAGATAAAGCTACAAAATTTTATAAAACTTTTAGAGCTTAAAATAGTCTATAAAACTTGCAGTATAATTATTGAGAACTTGATTAACTGCACTGAGAACGAATAATATGTCGTAATTAATCTATATAGCATGTAATTGATCTCTATTTTTTGGCATATTCAGGTGAGAGCTATTTTGTTGGCAGTGATGGAAGTGTGCTGATTTATTTTCAAGCGTTATGGCTGACAGGACAATATGAGCGTGCGATAAATCTACTTTTCAGGTTTCATATTTGTATTTTTTCTGTGAAAGTAAATAGCAATGCATATTTTTTGCTAAAAGTTAAAGCTGACCTCATTTCGGAAAGTTATAAGTTTCGGTGTTTTCATTTGATTAGAAAAAATAGTGAGTAGTCTTTTGGTAAGAAAAAATAATAAGCAGTCTTCTCTCAGTCGTCATACTTTTCATAACAAGCTCTAGTATTCTGAACATGAGTATTTGTTACTTACATGTTTCTGATGTATTTGTTTTTTGGACCTTTACAACATTTTACATATAATGATTTTAGATTCTCTAAGTTAAATTCTATAACTACTGCATTAGCTTTCAGAAATGACATGGTGATTCATGCAGTACACTTAGCAATATTATTGTTTGTGAATGGTTTATTGATTTTGGTTGATAACATCAAACATCCACTATGTTAGTTTTTATGTATCAAAGAAAAATACTTCTGTGTAGTTTTTAGATCAGTAAAAGAATAAAATATTTTATGAGTTTTGAGAAATGTTAATGCAAATCAGCAGTACTTATTTATAAATTTGTGTTACTTGAGAAGAAATTATCTACATCATTTAATTACAAGGTTGTAGCAACAAATACTGCATACATAACGTATAATCAAATTTAGTAGTCAGTGAACAAGATGATCCAGTGCAAAGCTTTCTCAATTTCTGTCGCCTTATTTTGTTTTACATGAAAGAATTTGAATGCAGTGATGTAGCACGTACATTAGATTATGCATATTTTCTAAACAAAATGGAATCACCTGTAGGTAAGCGTTCTTCCTTATATGTTAGTTGTCATTTTTATCATTTCATTATGAAAATTCGCTGCAAGCACTGTTGCTCAAATGTTCATATTATTATCGTTTTTATGATTTTGAATCCACGTTATTGTTGAAGCTTGTAAAAAATGTTGATTTATCTTGGAACCAGTGCTTTTTTCCTTTAAAAATGTTTTTGGTTTCTCTTTAAGTATGGTACGTTCGATTTAATAGAAACGAATTAAAGATATTTTGTAAATTAAATATTATTAATCTGTACTAGTTATAGAATTCATTATAATTTTATGCAAAAGTGTAGGAGATACAGTGAATAAAAAAGGAATAGGTAAAAAAAATCATCCAAAAATCGTTGAAAGTGATAAATCTATTTGTTTCCTCTTTTGTCTCAAATTTCGTAATCATCATGAAAAGACAGAAATCTTTCAAATCTTCCACTATTGTCGAAAATCACAGGACAACTTTATAGGTGGAAATTTGTTTTATTGTTGCATCTCTCGTGCAGTTTATTTGAGTGGAAAAACGTGGTGTGTTCTTGGACGAATTGACGATGATGGTGTTCGGAATGAAGGTCTCATTGACAAGTATGCAAAGGATATTACTATTGAAGATGCTATCGCTAAAGTTGCTTCTGATACAGAAATTAACGGTGATACAACTCTAGCTGGTCGACTGTATATGGCTGCTAATGTTAGCTCTAGATTAATCCGGAAAATTAGATTTTTGAAATATGCCTTTACTAGTTATTTTGGTGTAGATATATATTAAATTTATTTCATAAATTGCAGTTTTGTAATGTGGGAATTAATTTTTATACAGTGTGTTGGTGATGCAATTCGATTAGCTTGCGAAGCATTAGCTAAAGAAATCATTGAACATAAAGATACGGGTGAGGCTCGTAAGCTTGGTGTGTGGTTAGCAAATATTTGCAAACATTCGGCAAAGATGCCTCGAACAAATTCAGTTGATGCGCTTCCGAATCTATATCTTATGCTCGATATATATACATTTTTCCAATTCTATCGTGACAAAAAGTAAATTTCTGATTATATAAACACTTGAAGTTTTGTATTGAGTGCCTTATAGTTGTTTCAATTTTTGAAGTGTTTGTAATAGAAAAATTCAGTTTGTCTTTTAAGATGATAGAAAGTAATTGGAGCAGTCATCAGAACATATCTTTTCAGTAGCAAGTTAAGATGACTTTCTTGTTTTCATTGGTTTATTAAACAAGGAAATTATGGCTAACTCTTTTCATAATTAATAAGGGGAAAGGTTAATTTTCTTTATGAACGATAGAGTTGTTTAGGTTTGCTGCTTGCATGGAAATAATTGGGAAACTTAAGTGCATACCAGTAAATGTGGAAGAAGTACAAGCGTTCGTATCGACGTTTTACATGGTTTCAGATCAAGTAATCTGTCTTGTCTTTTCACTTTTCTTAAAAAAGTTACTGGAATTATATACGCCCCAGGTCTATATATTAGAAAATGAATCAGTTATTAATCACATTAAAAATAATGTAACTGAATAATTTCTAGAATGCATAAAAGTTTGCAATACGAATGAATTTTTTGAAAATGTGTTAATAAATTGATTTTGTGTAGTATTAATACTAGATTAATACTACGTAATTTACCATTTATTCAAATGCACTATAATATATTTTTTGTTATGCTGTATTTTCAATGTTTAGTTTTTTGAACTTTCATACATCCTTAAGTGAATTATGACTGTATACTTTCTAATCAGGGTGATTTTTATGTTTTATATATTAATAAGAGCATTAACCTTGTTTATTTGTACTATAAAGTTTACTTGGGAAGAAACTGGCGTTTTTTCGGTCTGAGACAAAGTTAATGAAGGCATACAAAAACAAATTAATGTAGTAATTATGTAAGCATGGTTTTTTAAGTTCATTGATAGTAAATGCTCAGATTGTTCGATATTAACTATTTTTTTAAGATGCGTTTGGTGTTGCCGGAGCTGTGTTTAACAGTGATGAAAATACTAGTAGAAAATTTGAAAAGCAATCCAGAATTAGTGGATGAACTACGACCAGAAGCTAAAGCGATTATTTTGTACGTTGCAATGATTCCATATCGGTTTCCGTCCCAAATTAGTACGCACATTTTACAGCTGGGGACCCATTTTGATTAAATTTCTTGTCAGTTTTTTCAAATGATTTTTTTATTTGATTATCTTTGGTTGTATTGGTGGATTGAAAATGTCATTGACATTAGTGTGTGTTTCTTTATTGTTGCTCTTTGTTGCTGATTTGCTCTGTTGGCTGTTTTTTGTATTGAATTTGGTGATATTTCTTGTAATGATTTTTGTTAGTTTTTGTGAATGCAAATATTTGAAACGGTATCCTGTTTCAAATTTCTGTTTCTATTTCAAAATTAAATTTTTGAAGATATTTTCTGATAAAACTCAGCGTATGAATTTTTTTTGATCCTATTTCTTCGGAAATGCCATTTTTCACGAATTTTTCAGTAACTATTTCGTCATTAGCTATAAGATTCTGGCCGTAGTATGAGAATTTTTACCATTATATGGTTAGTTTAGAATAATCGTGTCTTCGTTATTTTAAATTTCTATTTTTTGACTGTTGACATATTTGATACGAACGATATGAATTCTTAATATTGAGGATGTCTGCAATATGCCATCACCATAAAGTGGTTAATGTACTACTTATCTAACTCTTTTCGTGTTTCAAAGAAAAAAAACTTCGATGTTCTAGTTAAGATTGCTTCTTAGTCCAGCAAACATCATTTGATTTTCTTTGTGTAGTATGGGGTTTGAAGTAAAGAAGAGACGATCCAAGGCAGTACGAAGTTTTGGTCAATAGAATTTTGGTGTAGAGCATGTCAACAAGTTTTATTTTCCAATGTGAGGTGGCTTATAGTGACCCTTCGGTATTGATTTTAGCAAAATTCCATCGCGCAGTAGTTGGATTACTACTAGTGTAGTCTTTACTCGTGGTATCGTGATATTATAATGGGAACTGATCCTAGAGAACTGAGATGAAGCAACTTTGAAGAGGAAGAGTGATTTTAAGATTAGGCTTTGAAATATTTGCTATCTGGAAGGAATTATAGACAGTGAATTTATTAGTTGGTTAGCATTTTGATTTTACTCGTTCAGTTAATCTCGCTAGTATTAATTAATTGGTCTGTCTTGACATAAGTGTTTATTATGAGTGGTCAAGAATTAACCGTATTCAACCGAAATTATTAATTGGTTGTTTGATTGTTAAAATGTTGCAATAAAATTAGATATATTCACTGCTCATACCTTGCTAAGTTCATTACCTCAATTCCATTAATTTACAGACGTAGAACTAGAATTATTTCTTATTCATTTTAATCTTTTACTATTATTAGGTTATGTCTTTGTTGTTCAAAGAATGATGTTCGTTTTTGGACAGGTTTCTGGCAAATGGCAGAGAGCCACATGGCTGCTATTTTCAAAACATAAATAGTTCTCACTACTGGTTTATTCATAAATCATTAATTTTCAGTACTTAAATCAGCTAAGAATTTATTTATTCTTTACTTTGCTCATGCTTAGCAATTGCAATGTTGGCTTTGTTCAAGAGAGCTTATAAACGTCAACTGATCGAACAAGCTCGGTATTAATATTAAATCAGTTGCTTCATATTCATAATTTCTTGACTGAGTGGCATTTAGTAATAATCATCATTCACATTTTAGTTTAAAAGTCATTAACATAATTTTGCTCATAAATATGTTACCATTTATAAAATATAGCTGTTTTAACTGAAAAGGTTGATATTTTGAGAACGGTGATTTCGTTTTCATATCATGCATAAAATAATTTTGCGTAGGCTTCTTAGCGAAGCGCCAAAAAATGCTTTTGCGATCGTTGTTGGTGGTGGCATTGTGGGCACATCTGTTGCTTATCATCTAACCCTTCGTGATGTTAGTGATGTGGTTTTGCTAGAAAAAGAAAAATTAGTTGGAACATCTTTTCTCACGGTTTGATTTCAATGATTTATTATTTATATGTTCCAAATTCAAAAAGTGGAATTATGGTCGAAAAAATTTATAACTTCAGTTAGTCCGTGACATTCAGTTTTTGGCCTTGTACAGAATTTCATTCCGTGTGAAGTAACTTGCTTTCACAATAGCGGAGTTCAAGATTTTAATATAATTTTAGCCTGGTTTAGTTAGTTCAGCACATCCAATTCATCGTTATAAACCGTTTCTTGCATGGTCTGTGGACCTTTATTCAAGATTAGAAGAAGAAACAGGAGAGGTATCAGTACAAGAAATTCTTTTGAGCATTGCTTTTTCGAGACATTAGATGATTATAGTGTAAAAGCAGTTTGCTTTCCAGAAAGTTGAATTTTATCGTCCTGGAACATTGAGACTGGCAACAAGTGAAATGCGTATGGATGAATTTCGTCAATACACATCTCGAGATTACTTTCAAGTACTTCCTTTTCACTTATGAGAAAAATGATTTTCCATATTTTTATTTTTATATTTAACACGTTTGTTTCGAAACCTAGAATATCTATTCCAAATCATTTGTCTTCCTTATTTTCGCGTAATGTATACAAGTATTTATGAGACGAAAATGTCGTAGCTAATTTTTCAACCTTATGTTTAGAAATTTTTCAGTCATTGCTTTATACATAGTATTATCCATTCAATTTTCAGCCAGGGGATGTAGCTAAAACTGCACTGATTAAAGCGGAAGAAGTGAAACAACTTGCACCAATTTTGGATACAAAGACTATACTAGGAGCTTTGTATACTTCTGGAGATGGCTATGTAAATGTGAAAAACTTGACTCGTGCTTTGGCTAAAGGGGCTCAACAGCGTGGTGCTATAATTGTTGAACAATGTCCAAATATAAAGGCAGTGGAAGAAGCAAACAATGAATGGATTGTTAAATTTACAGATGGTAATGAGATACGAGCACGACATATTGTAAATGCTTCAGGTATAAAAATTTTCAAGTCTCGACTCTTTTATGATTTGCAGAAGTTTTATATGAATTGGTGCGTTCATAAATTATTGTGTAGCTCATCTAAATCGAGTCACATCATGTTGTTTCTTCAAGAAGTTTACGTTGTATCTAGAAATCATTTTAGGTCTCTGGGCTCGAGAACTCGGCCGTTTCACGAATTTGGATATTCCTCTTGTGATAGTCGAACATCAGTATGCCCACATCGGCCCTTTACCTGAGGTAATGTGACTTATTCCCGAAAATTGAAACTCTGTATAGCAGAAGCAAACATTACAATTAACTTTTGCTGATTTAAGAAAACAGTGATGCATTTTAGATATATTTATCTCTTTTATATTTCGGAATTTTTCTGTTACTTTTTTGTTTACAGGTAGAACCTTTAATTGATTTACCAGCTATTATAGAACATGATAGCACATTTTATATACGTAGAGCTGGGAATTGTTTGTTTTTTGGTGGTTTTGAACCAAAACCTTCGGATGTCGTTGTCCGAGAAGATTGGATGGAGAAAACACCAGAAAGTATACTATCTTGATTATTTTCAAGTTTCTTTTTTCTTTATTGCACGTTTAATCTATTTAATTAACATTTTGATTGCATTTTTTTATAATTTTATTATATTTGACAAGAATTGATAGTGTTTCATGCATGATTACTTTTGTTACATCTTTTTTTTGATTTAGTAATAGGTGAAAAACATCAGAGGGAAAACTTGCAATCAAAAAACTTTATTTTTGATGGATTCCAAAAATTACAAAACTTCTTTTTTTGTACATTATGATCGTATAGGTGTTTTACTCTAGAATTAAAGATTAAAAAAAAAACCTTTTTTAACGTGAGATTTTTTAGAGATAGATGTTAAACCAGACTTTAAGCGGTTAGAGCGAGTTTATGAACACGCATGCGATCTTATTCCGTGTCTGCGTGGTGCGAAAATTGATGCATATGGATCAGCCTCTACAATGATGGCTGACGGCTACCCTCTTGTTGGCCCCATTAATTATAAGCAAAACTACTGGCTTCAGGTACAAGTTGTTATATTTCTAAAGTTTTCTGAGAGAGATAAAAATTATTGATTGGGCGTCTTCATAATCACATACTGAATATTTCACCTTTGTATTTATAGAGTTGTAGTCATGTACTTATGATGAGTTTACTTTAATATGTTAACAGGTTGGATGTTTGGAAGGTATTTCTAGTGGTGGTGGAATGGGAAAATACTTGGCAGATTGGATAGTTGATGGTGAACCTCCAGCAGAGCTTTTCGATACTGACGCTAACAGGTACGATTATGCAGAAAATATTTAAAAGAATGTGGTCTATATTTTATTTTCTCGAGTTTAAAAATATGAAACAGTAAGGATTAGAAAATCAAAGAGTTCATTTATTATGTCATATTACTTCAGTAGTACTGAATCTTTATGTTTTTCAATGAAATGTGTTTTTAACTGTCACGAAAGTCCTTATTTATCAAAGCTCTATTATTTACATAAAAACTATGTTAGGCGTGATTTTTTACACTTATATTTCTACTTTCGTTTCACAATCGTTTTCTTCAGATTTGACCGATGGGTAACCCGAGATTATGTAATTAATAAATGCCGTGAAACATATTCCATGTTTTACAATTGGTCATACAAGAATCGACTGGTTGGACGCCCAACCGGACGTGTGAGCGGAATTTATGGTCGATTGCAGAAACAAGGATGTTTCTATTTATTCCGCAATGGTTGGGAGGTATATGTTTATATTTCATGATTTTCATTATTCAGTCATTTTTGATTTAAAAAGTCGTAATTTCACCTCTCGAGAATTTAGCCGAAGTTCACTAACATATATTAACTGCGATATGGCTAGTAACAAGAGTAAAAGGCTTAAGTTGAGCGCTAACTTCATTGAAGGAATATAGATGAATTCACAAGCTTTCTTCACTGCACAAAAATAAATGATTTAAAATATATGAGTGAAACAGTTGTCTTTAGTAAGGCGTGATTGTTGTGAACAGTTAAAATTCTCTTAGGTCGCGGAGTCTTTTGCCGCTGAATATAAGGATAAGCTCCCGAATATGATTCGTGAATATCAAATGGTATCTAATAAATGTGGAGTTATTGATTTATCCTGGCGAGGGAAAATTGAGGTTACCACTTTTATTATTCATTAGCTCCATATTCTTTTTCATGATCCCGATTTCGCATATAAATTCTTTTGAACATCAAAAAATTTTTGTCGCTGCACCATAATTTTTGATATCTTAAGAGTAAAATTAAGCATATTTGATTTTAATTTTGGATTTTTCAAAGAAGAAATTTTGGATTTAATGATTTTCTGTATTTTAATGATTCTTATAGGTTCGAGGCAGAGATTCAGATAAATTGTTAAATTATGCATTAACAAACAGACCACCTGCTCTTGGTGAAGTATCTTCGGGATTGTTGTTAACAAAGAAAGGGAATATTTTCAGCTTTATGCAGCTATTTCAGCAAGACCAATATAGGTGTTGTTTGATGAAAATATAGATCACACTCATTAGATGATGCTTTTTAAGATTTTTGGTATAATCATATGAGTGAAACCAGTGGAAAGTTAATATCTATTCAGAAATTTTATTTTCAGTTCTATGATGTAAAGAAAATTATAGATCAGAATATATACTATTGACTGACCCAGAACGAGAGTCTAGAGAACTTAATTGGTTGAATAAAGTTGCACATGAGATAGGGGCAGATGTGGAAATATCTGGCGTGAGCGAATATTTGGCTTCACTTGCTGTTGTTGGTCCGAGAAGTCGTGAAGTGAGATTAGATGTTACAAATAACTGATTCTCACTATCCTAGATTTTTGGTGTGCTAACTACTAGAGTTATGCATTATTTTTTGCGGGAAATAAATCATATAAAAGAGAATTCTAAGAAATATATCAATTTAAGTAATCTGGTATGGGAGTTTTTCTTGAGGTTGTTCTTTTGCACTACTTACTAGTATATGCAGGTATTTATAGTATATTTCTGTATTTTTAAAAACTATATGCATACTTAGTATGTTTTTTAACATTCAGTTTTTAAGTGAGTTATATGTATTTCAAAGTGACCTCTTGAATAAAATTCTGGTCTAAAATTTGAGGTTTTGGAAGAGCTTACCAGATCGGACTTGGCATTTGATCAGACTGCTGCAAAACTGATGAGACTTGGTTCAGTACCAGTTATAACTGTTCGAACTTCACGTGACACAGGACAACTATCTTACGAACTTTACCATGCTAGGTTCTGTCATTAAATAATTCAGAAAGTGATATTGAAAAATTGAAAGTACATTATCTGGTTTTTCATTTTTCATTAGCAATGATTTTTTTCTAAACTTTTTAATTTGACATGGTCTTGTCTTGGATTATTACTGACTACAGTCTGCAGCGACCAAAACGTTACCGTATTACCTCACGGCGGCGTAACTGTAGCTACATGGTGATCTCAAATAATTTATAACACTATTGCTTCTGACAAATTCTTAATTACTGCATAAATTGCTTTCAGAGGTGATACCTTAAGATTATATAATTCAATAATGGATGTTGGAAAGCGTTATGGCATTGTTAATTTTGGTCAAAGTACGTTGAATATGATGCGTATCGAAAACGGTCACAAAATATGGGGCAGAGAAGCAAGTCATTTAGTATTTTTTGATTAAGTCCTTATATCATGTATGATGTGCTAATGCTTAATGCTGTTCGGAAAGGATACCATAGCTGTACTCTTTCACCGTACTTATATTGCTCAGAAAATATAATTAATTATTATGTTAACAAGATTTCTTACCAGTGTATGCTATAATTTTTTTCAGTATTTGGAAATTGGAATTTTTATTAGGATTCATTCCGTACATTACCTTCTGATTACGCATGATGTGTTAAAAAATACATAAAATTTAATTGTAAACAATTAGTCATTTTGCAGATCACGTTGAATACGAATCCTTATGAATGTGGATTGAGTTGCTTAGTGGATCTTAGCAAAGAAAATTTTATTGGAAAATCATCGTGCTTGGAATTGTCACAGAGCCTTTGGCATAGAAAACAGGTGTCGTAACATTTGAAATTACCATTTCAAAAATTTTCTCAGCCTGCTAAAAATACAGTGTGATAAAATAATTCTCAATATTTTTCGAAAGAAAATTGACTATGCACAATTAGGAAATTTTCAAAATCACTTTTCGAGAAATTGCAAGAAGTAAACTAATTAAATGAAACTAATCCTATATCTCTCGGACGCTTTTTAATACGTTAAAAATTAAGTATTCATTGTAGTCTGCTATAAGACAGCAGGCTACTACATTATTTATGCTCCCCTTACATATCCCATTAAGCTTATGCATTGAGGTATAAGGCTGTTCTTCGATCACATTCTTATAGAACGGTCTTCTAAGCAGCTCAAATCAGGCGTTTTGGATTTTGAATGCACATTTTGAATGATCAAGAAAAGTTTCGTGAAAGAGATCTGTAGATTTAAAGTAGTTTTTAGGTGTTAATTATTTGTGAACCACTTACCGAGTTTCAAGGATGGCGAATGATACCGAAGCGGATGGAAGTAATCCGTAAAGAAGGCTCAGAAGAAGTAAGATGTTCACACTTTCATGCTTCCAAATTTTGATAATTTATATGTAAATGAGTACACAAACGATGACGTTTTATTTCAGCGAGTGGGACAAGTAACATCAGGAACATACAGCGTTCGTCTTCATCGACCGCTGGCTTTTGCATGGGTGCAGTCGAATATAACTCCAGAAGATAAGGTGTAAACTTATTTTCAAACTGATTGCAGTGAAATTGAGAAAATAGCAGTAGTGATCAATATAAATAGATTTCGTTCTCTTTAAATTATTTATATTTGGCTGATAGTTGTGTTAAATAGAAGCCAACCACTATTACTTGCACGTCTAGATTTCCCGTACAGACTTGTTCGTTAAAGTCAAGATTGTTTTACCCATACTTCTTGACTTCATACTCGCTTTGTATAGTTAACAATCACATTTGCAGCTGTGGATTGATCTCGGTGGCTCGCAAGTACAGGGTCAGATATATGAAGGTTCTACGGTCTGCGACATTGACGAAACTAAATTATCTCTAGAAGAAATATAAGTACGAAAAGCTCTTTCAAAATGTAGAACTAGAGTGCAGTGACTATCTGTATCATTTTTTGCTGTTTCATTAAGTTCTTTGAATATATCTTTTACATGATAAATAAAAATCGAAACAAAACGGTGAAGTACAGTATCCAAAGAAGTATTTATTCCCCATTTTATAGCTGAGTTCTATAGCACTCCACTATTTATTATTTTTAGAGACACAGTTTTATAAAACAAATGACTGTGCTTTACTCAAAATTTGATCAGGATTATTGTTCTAAGTAAAGGACGGAATTTACAGTAAGAGATATAGTGAGAACTATTTCTGGTGGTGGCAGTATCTTTACTATGTCACTGTCTTCAAAATCTAATATTCCTATTGCTAGTAACTGATAAGGCCTGTTGTAAGCTACTGAGCCAAATACTTTGTCGATGATATCAGGTAAAAAGTAGAAAAGTTCATACAAAATTTTGGCGAGGGAATAGGCTAAAAATAAGATTATTACCGATTCAGGCAATTTCACTCTACGTTTAATTGTTGAGCTATATAGCGACAATGTAAAAAAATATGACTGCACTTTTAAGTCAGATGTTTTTGAATAAATAGCAAGTATGACCAAATATGCATTAAAAATGAATAGGTAGTTTGAGTCCTTCTAATGCATTCATTTTCGAAGTGCAGATGCCATGAACAATATCCATATCTTGGATGATTCAATATTTCTCAGGCATCAGTACCATCAAACCGAAACACTGTCCCTGGGTAAAGATTAATTGAGCATATATTTAGTCTCATTTGGTATGAGTCGAAAATCAGAGGCGAGTTTTTGAATGATTGCTGCAGCCAAGTTTTCTTTTCGCTCCCTCTCTCGATTCCTAGTGCAATCACCTTTCCGTAAAACAGCACTTGCCAACTCAACATTAAGTGCGCTTATCGTTATTCTTTGTTCCCATCTAAATTGATTTGCAATAGATTTTTGACTTTCTGCAACGACATTATTTAATTCGAGCAAAGCCCTGAATTACCCAGTTCCTCGTTCAGCGCTATATTTTAAGGTCATTCGCACGGTTTGAAGACCAATGCCTAATCTTTCAAATGGACTTCCATTCTTAGGCATCACCTTCACAGCTTTTTTCAATTCACGAACAAGATAGGACATGTAAGAATCTGATGGACTTTCATTGGTGCTCCATAATTCATATGTCTTATCTTTTAATTGTACTTCTGCATTCTCCTAAAACCTTGTCCAAAAATTAGACTTGTAATCTTAAAACAATAGTTCAATGAAGAAGGACAGCTGAAAATATCCTTTACCACAAAATAATTTATGCGTAAAATCTTTACCTCGTAAAAAGCTTAGTAATGAGAAGAATATTATGAAAGTGAAAGATAAGAGTAAAAAAATTCTCTAACTTAATTTTGCATAGATTTCGATCACAAAATTGATTTTTTTAAACAGCTATAGATGTGTAAGTGAGGAGAAAATCATACCCTTGACAAGACAGCTAAAGCGGCTGCAGCAACAAAATTCTTAACATTGTAATCAGTCCATGGCGGAAAAATTCCTTCCAAAATATTAACGTTATTCACGAAAAGGATTGATTTACCGATCTCCATATACTTTACTTCCCACTTATATTTTAATCGAGATGTTAGGCGATTGAGTAATATTAAAGGATCATCTTTCTTTTCGAGTATAGATAACTGTGCCCTCATTAACCCAAAGCTCTGAAAGTGAATTCTTTTAAAATAAGTTGATTCACATCAATAATAGCTAAAAACAAGCTTTCTAAACTTTCGACCATTAAGTAGACAGAACTAAACATGAATCTTAAAATTTTGAAACAGATATCAAAACTTTGACTTAAGAATCAATTCCACAGATTCTACATTTTTCAGGTTTCTTAATAAAAATTTCACTCATACCTTCTTTTTTTGAGCACATTGAAAATCATCTCTGTTTTGATCTTTACTATTCGACTCCAATTTAATTTTTTTGAAGGCTGATGACTGTACACAACTTTGTTCGAAATTTCGCTTACGATTCTTGAAATGTATTACAAGTTTTAAGAGCAATTCTAAACATGGTTGTCTTTAATCCAAATCTATGGAATCTTTATTTTCATATCTAGATAGTAATTCTAATGTTTCAGAAATCTTAAATATAAACAAGCTCTTATATATTAAGTACAGTTAAACATATTAAATACTGAATGTATTAACCTGCAATATTTCCTCCATTAATCCTGCTCCCATTTCCTTCACTGTATTCATCAAATCCTTGTCATACCTCAAAAAAAAAAAAATTGTTTGAATACGTAATTAAACGGCAAAGGCTACTCACCAAATAGCTAATCACTTTAAGGCTTTCTATGAGCAAATTTTCAGAAGTCAGCTACTTTACCTTCTAGAATGTAAAAAACGATATTAACCAATTTAGAAAACTTTCCGAATTTTTGTGAAAGACCATTTCTAAACACATACCATGGAAAACCCTCCTCAGATTGAAGTAAAGTCTATAAACTCCAGATTATTACAACAAACACGCAACGCCCCCAAACTCATCATATCTCTCTATATTTTATTTATCAGCATTAATAGCAAAAATTAATGCTGCTCTCATGCTAATATTAACAAATATAACTAGATGCAAAAATACTCACGTACAACCAAGCAAATTAACATTACAAAAAATTTGGGCAAGACAGAGAAGACGATTTCTTGGATACTCCATCATGTGTCGTTCAATAAACATGCGGCGTAACTTCCAATGCTCATCACTTTCATAATCAGCTCTTATTTCATTCAAATCACGCATATCAATGAATTTGTCCATCTACTAGCGAGCGAAAATTCTGAAAGGTTTACGTACAAAATTGGACAAGGAGTACAGAAACACCCTTCAAACACTAAACTACGTATAATTTGCTCGTTATATGATTGACATGGATGAGGAAAGTTTCGAAACACTTCTCAGCTGTTACTACCAAAGAAAATTCAAGCCAACATTCAAACGCCGAATGCTTTGACTCCAATATCAATTTGTAAGAGAAACCAAGCAAACAGTCAAATCGCGATTTTTGAGTCAATCGCCCTTCAGATCTTCAAGATCATTTCAAAAAGTATCCACCCAATCACTACGAAATTCCGCCTCTTCCCACCTAAAATCCAGATACCACTTTCGGAATCTACAAAATCTTTCTTTGAAATAAAAATTAAATTTGCCAGATACACTATAGTACATGCTAACCTTATTGTTGCTAGTCCAGTTATTTCAGTGACAGCAGTGAGCACAAATTATATAATAAGCGCCACAAGTAATACCAACGGAAAATTTTTCAAACTGAAAAAAATGGAACAATCAGGTAGAGAAAATCTTGAAATCAATCTTAAACATGCACTAGAAAGTTTTGTTTTTACTAAAACTTCGGGCACCAATAAACTTGAGAAAATAGACCAGAAGGTTGTAATACTTGTCGAAAAATATTAGGATGCGTAGAAGAAGACCAAATCTTGTCATCGAACAATGAGAGAATCCATACTTTTAATTCTAAAAATGCAATACAGAGACATAACAGCTGTAAGCTGGCAATTTCTATCAAATGAGAAGAATACAAAAAATAATGTAAGGGATATTTCCACTTGTGACATTTGTTTGAAATGAGAAACATCGATTTACCTTCATTGAATGAGATGTTTTAATGATATTAATTATTTTCAGAGCATTAATTTGCTATACAACATCATGACCAACAAAGCTATCGAGCAATAACAAAACGGAAGAAACAGCAATAACATCGAAAAAATACAAAGTGGTATTAAATTACGATAGAATGCAAGATAACGCAAATTAAGGCATGGTTTCTGAAATGCAATAAAAGTGGAATGTGCTGGGACACAAACTCGAGGATATTCCGGATCAAGTACAAATCTAGCAACAAAACCAGTTAGTGTGGAATCCTCATAACATTGAGAAAGGTTTTGGATAAATTTCGTTTGATTAAGCGCACGAGAAAACTGATATAGAAATTTCGACAGCCACCAAACTTCATTTGAACGAAGAGGTGCAATAATAGGTGGCGTAGATTTGAAACAATTTGAATAGTCGAAACGATGCGTCCCCCGTAGAACCTATAAATTTTTTGATAAATTACAAAGAATTCTTTCACATGAACAGAACTTCTACACTTTTTAATTTCATTAAACATTTCTTTTCAGACGGATACCTTTTTGTCTCATCAGTCGCTCTTTTCAAATATCTCACTGCACATTCTCTTACTAATAACCTAAGAAAATGTACCTGTTTTCTTCCTTTAGAAGTAAGGTACATCAGTTTCGTCTTTGGATCAACGTAATAATCAGGAATTTGCTTCCGGAAACTAGATGATGAGTTGAATGAACTGTGTGAATGAAAACTACCTTTGTCAACAGAGGATACTTCACACAGAGCTGTATCAAATCTATTATCTTCATTATTATTGGCTAAATCATACTGCACTTCACTACTGGTTGAATTCAATACAGCTCGGTTTGCATTCGTTATGATTTTTTTCAAAGCTTCCAAAGTCTTTTTTTGCTCTGATAAAAGCATCACATCCTCTGAAATCATTTCAGATGCTATACATCAATTGATAAAATGTCCTTCATTCACTCCTTTCAGAAAATCTGAGCAAATTTTTTCGCTACAACAACCACTAACAATGAATGCGTCACAGATCAATTTAGTATGCGAATAAATATTATGAAACTAATAAGCTAATGGAAATTTAAGTTTCTGAAAATATATTAATAACTTTTCAATTTTCCGTTTGTAAGAGAAAAATGCAGATTATAATAAAAAAATTAAACTACCAAAGCCTTTGTCTAATTCAAAACTTTAGAGACTCGAGACTATGAAGATTTTTATCTCAACTGTCCTTTATTTTTTAAGTAGATAATTGAGTGAACAAAAATCAAACCGCTGTAAAAAAACGTGCGCTGTAACCAATTTGTTTTCTTCAATCGTTCTTCACTTTTATTTATTGTCAAATGTAGATTATCTGCGCATCTCTTCATTAACTTAAATAAAGCGAGTATGTGTGATTCTAGATCATAATCTAAACAGTCATATACCTGAAACCGGAATTATTACATTACTACTCAAAAAAATGCTACTCAAGTTCTATTGCCACAATTGTTTAGGGCAAAAACTATTAAACATTATTTCACGAATGCTTCACATCCACACGGTTTTTTATATTTGACGAGTTAAATAATTGATAACATACCCACTGCTGTTACTGTAAATGAAAATAAAAAATTCATCTGGTTTCATCAATATGTAACTGTTTATACGTACAAACATCAATAAACTAGAATTTGATAAATTTCATGAATAAAGAGAATATATGTAATTTTAAGGATTCTAACACGCAAGACAAAACATTAATTGAAGTTCTACGAATAAAACTAATGATAATTTTTTTCAAAATTAATACTTTTCACAATAACGTCAATTTAAAACTTAAAACAATATACCTCTAGCATATCCTGAGACGTCAAAACGCAGATGTAAGAAATTAAATTTTCCACATCTAACGTACATTCTAAAGGGAAATTACGCCGCCAAAATGCATCTGATAGTTCAACATAATAACGACGATTATAACGAATAAAGGGCATCACACGCTGAAGATCCCCTCCACAATAGCGCCATGGTCTGATCCACGTAACCCATACGTCTAAAAATCGTGATATTTCTATTTAGAAATCATATTTTCTTTAAAATTTTTTTACTTCATACTTTGTTTAAAATTCTAAAGATACTACACATCTAACACTGCTACTGGCACTACACCAGAAGTAAAAATATCTACAGAATTTTTTAAATTTGCAGTCGTTTAAAGTAGTATCATTTTTTATGCTTAATATTCAGATGCATATGTGAGGCAAATATAACCAAAGAGACAGGTAAACGATGGATTTGATGGCCAACGATTAAATAACGATAGGAAAAAATTGAAAAGGTCATCGGTAAACGGAACATTCCACTGCAACTGGAGCTTAGTTTGCGATAAATTTAAATCTTCGGATTGAGTAAATGCGAAAACATGAATTTCCCGGAGCACAAATCTGGAAAAAAGATTATAAGAGAAACTAACAATCGAAGTTTTTTTATGTAGTTAACAAGTGAAAAGGACAAATTTTTTAGCATTTACATTCGAGAATTATAAATTAATTCTTCTGGCAAAAGTAATTAATCTCAACCTCAAAGCGATGAAACGATAGTCAGTTGGCCAGTTTGATAAGGAACAGTAAGAACGAACAATGATGCAAATAAATATTAAAAAATTTGGTGAAACAGATTGCGCAATAGTACGCAACGTACGGATGGAATGCGATGAAGGACAAATTGCATATCGTCTCAAAGCTTCCTGAAATAAAAATGGAACTCAATTTTAATAAGCAAATCAAACAAAAAATGGTGTAGAAGATGTATAAAGTAAACACTAATTATTTAATTATTTAATTAAATGCAAATATAAAAGTTATAAACAACATACCTCTTTAAAGAGATTGAGTGGCGTACTAAAAGTGCTTTTTATTGCATTTTCAGTTCGATGTTCTTTAATAGCTACATCTATTGCCTTTTGATCATTTACTGGCAACATGAAACAAACGTAGTCAGAAAGAAGCCTCATATAAGCACTATCTTGTACTACTTCCAACGGAAAATTACACCGAGTACGCTCCAAATGTTGGCAGAATGATTTGGTGAAGTATTCAAACATTTCCACATCTGATTCCAACAACAACTGCAAATGAAAATAACAATTTAATTTTTTAATAATTTCAACTTCAGTATCTAAAATTTTTGTTTGTATTAAGAACAAAATCAGTTCTATCGTTCACTCACGACTGATTTATTAAAAAACAATGATGCTTATTTTTTACGTGGTCAGTAAAAGGGATTGAATAGGCACTATTGTCATTTCATAATTCATTTGCATAAATTTTTTTAAAAAAGCAATGAAATACTTTTTACTACTAAATATATCTAATCCAGAATTACAAGTCAACTTTGAAAACACACAAGTTCTTCTTGTAAATATAGAATTTCTCGCTATACACAAATCTGGTAAATAAATTCTCACTTACCCCATACGTAAAAATACCCAAATGCTTTTTAAAACAAGGACAAATGAAAAAAAAACGCGTACCTTGAATACGACAGAATTTGTATCAACTAATTCAATGACTCGATTATACTCCTCCCCAGAATCGACTATCCCTGACTGTGGCAATACTGACAAAAGATCAATGCGCATATCGTTGAAAATACAATCAATAGCTGTTTGCAAAAAATATGTATCCATCGTATAACTTTTATTTTGAATACGAGATCGTAATTCATCACAAGTAGATGAGAGATGTGACGCAAAGTTAGCGCAGACATCCATACTAAAAATATAATTTTGCGGCTAATACTAATATTGGATATACAGAACATTAAATACTGAATTTTCTTCATCACCGCCGAAAAAATATTTTGTAATCACTGGATATCACGACACCTTAGTTCATATTTATTAATATATGCAATTTCTAAATTCTACATAAAATTTAAGTTTTGGAGCTCTAGTTTATTTTTAAAGGATGCTTCAAAGGCATTCCACCGTGTATAATCAACAATCACTATAAAATGACTCTCTTTTACACTGCTAATACAGTCTTGGTGTTCGGTGGGCAAGATAATTTACAGTTTAAAGTAGCGTTTCTGAATCGGTGAAACTTCGCTATGTTTACTTCAAGATATGACAGAAATAAAGAGCTAAAGGATTTATTCTCAGAAGTTCTAAAAAAAAATCTATATTCTAAAAATAATAAAGTTTACAGAAAACATGGAACTTTAAAAAAGATGCGAGAAAACAAAATAAGAAAAGATGCGAAAGAATAAATATAAGAAGACATTAAGTTAAAATTAACAACATAATAAATAAATAAACAAATACCACTATCGTTTGAATTCTGCATTTAAAGAAATAAAGCTTAAATAGTAATCGCGAACAGTACACAAACGTCTGAATTCAGGCACGACCCGCTAATAAGATTTTACGAAATTTACAGTTAAATAAATTAGTTGTTAACGATTCTTTTCATCATAATTTCAAGAGTACCCAAAAACAAATTCTCATTCAAAAAGACTGAATGATCAAAAAATTGCGGACAAGCATAAAAAAGTCAAGCTACATTGTAAAAGTGATACAATAAACAGAAAACATGTTTTGGAAAAAGATGCGAGAAAACTGGAACTACTTATGTAATCTCATATAATCTAAGAAATGTTGATAAAGACAAGTAAAGGAAAGAAACCAAAGTTATACAATAAATTGTGAAAATCTCATGCTTTTCGAAGCCTTTTTTCACGTCTTTTCAGTCTCTTTTCATTTCCTTCTTGCTCTACCGGTTCAGCAAAAAACCAAGGTGCCAATATTGTAACCCATAACTTGTATACAATATAAGCAGGAATGATGAATAACAACCAGAAAATTCTTGACCAGAAAGCAGCAATCGTTGCAACTAATGAGCAGACAATTACAACATCCTTACAGTTCCTACAATAATAAGTCTAAATTCCATAGCTTTTTACAAAAAGCTAATGATAATTTGATTGTTACAAACTATGAAAATTTTATGAAAAGCATCCTCTAGAAATTAGCGTTAATACAAATAAGACATGCGCCGCTCTCAACTGAAATAAAAAAAAACTGACTCTCCGAATGCATCCGGTTGATTGAGATCTAAGCCTGCATCCGTGACTTGTCCTTTGTCATTACGACGACAATGTGCCATTGAACGCATAGTCAAAATAGCAACTCCTTGAAGAATCGAGCAAATCGAAAATCCAAACTTCAAAAAAAATTGCTAAACCTGAGTGATCACTATGTTTTGAATAAAGAGCCAGATTATTTCTTATATTACGTAAAGCATCATTAAAACAGAGATCAGAATATTTAGGAAATACTCAAAACTGTGTTTCAAAAAGTTGAAATTTCATTATTTAGATTGATCGCATGCTTTGTTTTCGAAATGTTGACAAAAACATACCCATTCCCATGGTGTTTTTGGAAAAATGAACCACGAAATCGCTACGAAGAAGATCTGAACAAAACAAAGATTTCAAAAAGTATACAGCTTATGTACTAAGAAATCCTTTTTGTAAATAAAAAGCGATATACATTGCGTTTATAGTAATAAATCAGAAGGTCGGCGATTCGACTCCGTCATTAATTTTTTTGTGGCTTGGAAACAAAATTTGGAATACCTAGCAGGACACTGCAAAAAGAAAAAAAACTTCAATTACCCAACTTGAGAATAATTTACACGTTTCAGCCTGGTTTGCATCGATTAAAAAACAATCGAAGTGGATTACTGATAAAACAAATTTACTTATTTCTCATGACTAAACAATATAATAAAAAGAAGTAATGATAATATGACGCTGCCAGAAGAAGAAAATTCTAGATACATTAAAAAATAAACGAAGCTTTGTTTTATCGATTACCTTTTGCTGCAACCATTTACTCCAAACCAAAAAATGACTGACACAAGAAGAAACAAACATTTACGATACTTTATGAATTAGAAAAAAGAAATCCCTTAACCTATACAGAAAGATAATTACAAGTGATTATTTATTTCTTCTGCTTTACTAGCACGAAGGAAATATATCAGCATTTATAAAATTTCCTCTAATTAATAGCCCTCAAATGTTTTCATTCAGGTTTCTTCATATACTGCAATTTTCGAAATCATCATTGTGCCTTGATGTAGCTGTACAAAAATTTCAAGAAATACTGCAAATAAATTAAAGTCACAAATTACAACAAAGAGACAGTACTCTCTGTAAAATGAATAAATTGCTTACTGAAGAAAGTAAGGAAGCAACTGAATAATGCAATAATACAGTTCGATTTTCTTCATGGATCTGCTTTTGACCACGGGTCGCTGCTTTACCTGATTTTGCACCAATGTTCATGACTTGATTTTGCACCAATGTTTATTACTCATTGAAATATCTCGTCATAATGAGATGATTTAAACTGGAAAGAAACCAGCAAACTTTATCTTACTATTAAAGATTTCTTGCCTGAAAGAAATCGCATTTTCAAGCTTACAAGAGAAGGAAAAAAAACTACGTCCAGTTTACGCAACACTTAAAGTTGCAACATACGGAAGTAGTGTAAAAAAATGCTTCTCAACGATGAAAGTTTAATAAATATTCTTGAATAAAATCAGCTCAATCTTTTGAGGTAGTTGAAATGGCAAACAAAATAAGTGTACGTTTTGAAAAATATTTCAGTACCTTTACACATGATTGTAGCAATAGATCGAATTAGCAAAATCAGAAAATTTACCTTCACACAAATACAAAACAATAAAGCAATTTCTTTCACGCTAATACACTTCAATTATGTCACACAAAACCTCTGTAAAACTAAAGAATTGAAACATATTTTCTTTCTCAAACATCAAACATTGAAAGAAATTAATTAAATTGAGCGCAAAGCCTCACTATATAACGCTTCATGATGAGAAGTAGCCTCTTAAAATAAAAATATCAAATTATAAATATTACGGAGCTAACATGAACAGAACACGATCAAATAAAAGTTGCAGTCTTATTCGCAATACAAGATAAACCAGAAAAACAAACATTTTTAATTAGATCAAATCTGAAAAATTTGAAGTTGAGACAATTTTTGAAATAGAGAATACAAATAAAAATTGCAGCCCCTAATCTAACACTTTTCATCAGAAACCATAAATTATGATTAATTCGTGAATTCATAAAAATGAAGCACTTGCATATAAATAAAACCAATATTGAACTTAAATAAAACATGGGGCAGCATTTCACGTTCTTTCCATTTGAGTTGGTAAAGTGATAGAGCAATGACAAATATTGGACTTGCCATTTAAATATAAGACAGCAAGAAAGAATAAATGGGCTTATGATATTATTTCAATGATCATGTAACACTAAGCGAAAAATTTCATTTGAAATAAAAAACGAACCAGCTGCTGGGCGAAGCACGAAAAAATGATTAAAAGATTGGATCGGATCATCATCAGTCTGAAAAAAAAACCACTTGGAACTAAGTCAGTCCCCATTTTTATCTTATGTAAGTGAAGAATACGAACACAATCAAAATAAAGTTTTAATGGTAACAGCCAATATTTTGTCATACATTAGCTTCCTGCATAATACCTTCAATAAACTTTGTTCATCTTATTTCACATCAAATAAAATGCTAAATTAAAACATTTCCACATGAATTTGTGACAAATGCATCGAAACCAAATATATCTTAAAGACCACTACAGAAATCATCTCATGCTTAATATTCTTCAAAGCGCATTTCTGAACAACGAAAACATTCTAGATTCACAACCAAAGATCTAAGAAGAATAACCTTAAGTTGCCCAATAATTGCAACCAATATAGACCCGTCCGGTAACGGCTGACAATCAGTTTTTGTAATAGCTCTTTGAATCATCCTAAATGGCAAAGCCTGAAAAAAATATGTAATAACATATTTGACTTTATGAAATCTAACACAATTACGAAATAATCTAAAGAAATATGCTTAAATTCTGAATCATGAGCTATGAAAATACTAATCTTAAAAAGTCTGATTCGAGAAAGAGATTTTTTTGTTATGAATAAAACTATTCAATCCTATGAGTCTTTCCAAAGCAAACTGATAATTACACATTCCTTAAATAAAACTCTAATTTATCCGTCTTTAAAGAACACTTACAGCAAACTTTTGTAAAATTAAATCTCGCCCCTTCACTTGCACACCCTCGAACGTCATATAAGAATTAAGAGGATCGTAGAGATCACTTAAACCGGCACTTCGTGTTGATGGATCTGTGACGTCGAACTTTGAGTAATAGTGCTGGATAAAAGCATTTCCTATTTCTTCAAAATTCGGATTGAAATTCATCCTAAAACTTGCATTGTACATACTTTAGAAATCGACACATCAAACAAAAAACGTGCACTTTGTGAAAAGCTGAGAAACGAGTTTCATATATATGGTATGTGACGACTGCAACATACAGTCAAATTCCAAGTGCAGCGTTAAAAAACCGGCTGTAAGATTTATATTTCTTCAACTGATTATTCGAATGCATTAATCAAGATAGAATGAATACCATCTTATGTATATTATGAAAAATGAGTCTGAAAATTGAAAAAATAGAGTCCGACAAACAAGATTTTTAATTCATAGTATAACAATGCTTAAAGTGAAACTACGTATGTATTAATAGAAATGAAATAACATTTTTTTAGTAAAGCAGTTCGCTTTTAAAAATCTTTATTAAAACACATGTACAGAAGACAAAATTTTAAAGTTTGATTATACAAAAATATGTATGAACTTTCACAATTATCTGAAATAGCTCAATGGTGGAGCAAATTCTTCATCACGTTCATCACGTTGTCTTGAAATCCATTTTTCAAACATTACTGAAAACAAGGACTTAATTACTGAATGCATTATTGAACGTATTTCAAAATTCAACTAAAAATTTTTAGGCTCACAGAACAATTAATACCATCAAAATCAAGAAGTGTAAAAACACAATCATTAACAACGTTTTGATTCATAAAGTGATATACCTTTCCCACGGTCCCATTCACGAACAGGAACAAATTTTTTCGGTTCAGATTGCGTGGTAGAAGGTGTAGAACATGGAAATTCATTAGGAAGAGGAATATCAAGGTAATTTACTTTAGCACTTCCTAGAATAATGCAAAACGAGAAAATGCATGAAAAGACGTTTTAACACATGGCATCTTATTTTTGATCATAAAAAATATTTTGTCGAAATGTGTTAAGATATAAACTTTTTTACCTCCAGCATTCAAAGGAGGTAATTCTTCCAAGCCTCTTCGTTTACGAATTCTATTTAACTGTTCCCATCTTTTTTTTTCGCGTTCTTCAAGTAAGCGTTTTCTTTCTGCTCGATTGGATTCAGTTTTCTATAAAAAAATTTCATTAGTCTATCCTGAAATTCTAAGTGCATAAACCCGCAACTTTTTACAAAAAACCCACCTTGCTCAAATTCAGTAATTCTTGTATTTCTTCCTGCCTTTTTGTTTCACTAACAGAAAGCGGAATATGTGAAACGCCGTAAACACGCTGTTCTAAATAATTTTTTTAAAATAAATGAAAAGATCGGGGAAGGGCATAAGTGACATACACACCTGCATAAGTAAAAAATTCAATGAAATAAGAAAACTAAAATAAGCACTATGAGCATAATTGGAGTCTAAATTCAAAAATATGACTCAATAATTGAATGCGACATGAGAAACAAAGCATAGATACCTTCAGTAGGATTAAAATGCACTGCTTCACTTTTTTCGTTTCTGTCTTTTTCAGCCTCATGTTCACGTTTCTTTTCTTCCTCACGCTTTTTTGCGTTAAAATCTACTAAGAATTCCACTGGTTCATTATTACCTGAATAAAAAATTTAACTTGGTCTGTAATAATTTGACTTCATTTTTATCTTCTATTAAACAATCTATTTAGTGCTGAAAAAATTGCTCAACAAGCTGTTTCAACAGAAGAAAAAATGCATGAGGATTGAGAATGCTTCACAATTTACATTTGTGCATACTAATTCTATAGTGTTCACATTCAGGGACAAAAATTAACGAACCATCTAATATTTCTTCACCCTGGACAATACGATTATAAATTTCGCTTTTCTCTTCCAGTATTTTTTGTATACGTCTCCTTTGTTCTTCATCATTTGCTAGAGATTTTTCTAGCTCACAAATGCGCTCCTGTCTTTGCCGCTTCTCTGCTGCAATCTTTTTTTCTTCTTCTTTGCTGACGCGCAAAACACTCTGCAATTAAGTTTACCAATCATATAGTTAAAACTGAACCAAAAACTCCCAATGACATATTACGACAAAGGAAAGCTAACTCCAGCCTCTACTTTCCCCATACCGTCTTCATCCTCAACTTCGAAATATTTAAACTCTAGAAAGAACGATACCATGAAGCTACCGCATCCCTACTTGACTGTATCCCTGATGTACGATAAATACATAAATTCACGACAAACCTTTCGTCTTGAGCCCTTTGTACAAGTAGTAACTTTCACACTTTGCTCGTGAACTTTGCGATACAGTTCCCCTTTCAACAAGAAAAGCGACGATGCATCAGCAGTTTTAAGATGATGCTTTTGACAACCCGACGTTGAACAATGACCTAACATTTACTGTAAAGCAATAACTTTTTCAAACTTATCAAATCAGATTTCCACTCTCGGAATCAGAAAAAAAACTGGCAGAGATCAAATAGTCAATTATAACATAACTCGTAAAGCTAAATTTATTGAAAATATGCTTACAATTCAGATAGCACATATTAAATAATGGGCAGCCATATTGTACAAACATTTATTTTGTATTTCGAATATTACAACGCTTACTCTTTTATTCAATAGTAACAATAACAACACTTTCAATTAATACAATGTTCTGCTTATAAACCTATAAGAGAGCTCCCGAACCCCGGCCATATCCACTACGATAGTTTGACACAGGTAATGAACCAGGACCTGCTTCAGTTATTTTTTCAGCAGTTCGGTATGCATCTCTATCACTTTCCATTTTGGGTCCTGAAACGATTCCACTTCAGACGATTAAGAAAGAGAATATTTATGATTACTCCAGCTTTAAAAATATGCTTTCCTTAACTCTGGATGATGAAAAAATCAAAACAATAGTTGAATTTGAAAAAGAAATTGACAGCACCTCGTGGTAAGCGTTCAAATTCTGGCACTGCCTGCTGCTGTTTAGCCTTGATAGTTGCAGGAACAATTTCAGCTGGTAAGTGAAGATATTCACGCAAATAATCAATACCTTCATTTGTCAAGTACCAATAATGGTGGCGCCATGCAAACTGTTCCTTCACGTATCCACAAGAGGAAAGACTCTGCAAAATACAAGTACAAAAAGGGGAAAATTTTTCCCGTATTAAACATTATAGATGTTTAAATATGTTTTAATTAAAAAAACTAGTATATTGAAGCACTCCGTAATAGCAGCAGCTGAAATTAATTATATATATATAGATTACAGATTTACAGATATACAGATAGATAGATGAAAACACATGACGACAAAATTCTGATTTTCTTCTAATCAAGGACGATCTCTCTGATTTTTTAACATTAATAAAAATTAAATCCAATATACCTTGCAAGCTTTAATCACTTCCAAATTCGTCACATTTGCTATATCTGGATGGCTTTTCAAATTAAAATCTTTCTTTGCAACACAAACGCCTTCTTTAAACAAATACTCGTAGATAGCTCTTCGATTTTTTGTTGGCATCAACATGTTCGCAAAATTCTTGAAAAGTTCTCAGATTTTGTGCAAAGTATCAAGCTACTACTAATTTTAATTCTAACGGAAACGACGGACAATTAAATTTTAGCAGAAAACATAAGTGATTTATGAGAATTACTGTCGCAAATATGTATGTATCGAGTAAAGTGGCAGTAAACTCAATTGCCTAAGGGTTACTATAACCAATGTGCTATACAGAGAAGAGCCCATTGGCTACTGTATGAGCGAGATATTACGTGAGAATCGCTTATTTTAAAAAATTTTTCAACCAATAAACACCTTAAACTCTGCATGAAGAACAATTTGCATAAAAGAAAATTAAAAGAATCCTTAGGGAATTGAGTTTATTCAAATCATTCCAACAAATTTATTATTACTCTCCCACAAGCTCAAACCAATACAACATTCTTTTGTAATAAAATTCAATATAAACAATCAAAAAATCCCACATGTAATTCCCTATTACTTTTTGCTCCAATAGCACAGATGTAGGATTAAACGGCCCAACTGACCCACAATGAAAACATTGACTCAACCTTCCAACCAAATCTTACGTCGACACTAGGTACTGCAAGGAATTGTAACGGATTAGCGAGCAAGGCATTTCCTCTGTATATTTAAAAGAATAACATAGAAGCAAAAGACTTCGCATACCTAATTTACACAGGACTGAATGGTGATGGAAGACCATAGGTTCAAAAGTAATAATAATATATAAATCGTAGCTAGCGGACACAGATATGCACTTTCTGCCTTACTTGTTGAATAATCATTCTGCTGAACAATTAATATTAGGCAAAACCACATTGAGGAAATACAACGAAACAACTTGCAACACCTCGATCTAGAATTACAACTCCAACCCACTAGCTCACTTATCCCAACACAGCAACTCATTACGCTTGAGCTGACGAGAATTGGACACAAAAGAAGACTGCATCAAATGCAAGGTACGACCCCCTCTACTGAGCACTAATCGACCCAAAGCTACCCAGACTCCTTTCATCATTTTTATCTAAATCTAACACCCAATTGTTCTACAAAGACAGTACTGTAATTTCGAGTCCCTATACATCAATATATTGCCATACATTTACTGCGATATCACTACGGAAAAATACAAAATCAGACATAAATATATTGAACAAAATACGGACCAGAATTCAACTTGAAATCAGCACCTTTCCTTGTATTATATAATTCCTCTAGAACTCATGAAGAGGGTAAATACTTCTGCAGAGCAGACCGCATTAGTCAATTCGATATCCGATAGTAAGGATAAAACCTGCCTTTACTGTTGAGGAACTAAAAAGAAAACAAACAGCACTACTTGTAAAATTTAAACTACGATCGTTGAACTCTCGCAATTGAAATAAACGCGTCGTAAGCATATTTCTGTTCAATGTAAATATAATGTACAGAGAGCGAGAGCCCGAAAATAATAAGGGTTCTGAAGTTTTAGAATGAAAAAGGCACTCTAAACTGCCTTCAAATAGACATATAAAGCAAACAGGTACTTGCATCTCTATATAAATGTAGACACTTTATATACATTTGCATTTAATGGATAAAAATGATTACAAATCCTTCTTTACTACACAAACGCGTGAGTATGTCAGTGCAAAAATAACCCTAAATTCGGAAATGAGTGCTCATTTTTAGAAAAACAAGCAGGAAACACCGCACTGTAGACTAAGACAGGTAAATTCATAAATCTGCTCGGAAAGTGAGGAACAATTGAACGATTAGATCAGTCAGCAAATAAGGCAAATGATAAAGAAGACAACTCGCTTCACATTAGCAAATGCTGCTGCAACTTCAAAGCTGGATTTAATGAGAGCTAATGCAAAGCGCCGGAATGTATTAAATGTTGATAAATGTCAAAAGTTATTAGCAGGAACAAACTTCCGTGATCTTCAAAGATCTTGACTCGCAACTTCCTAAGGTAAAAAGTTAAGGAAAATGTGAGCGCTTAATCTTATATGATAAGTTTCAGTTCAAATTGAACAAACAAAGAAAAATTATTTGTTGAATGATTCAAAAACAGCCCACATCACACCAACACATAAATTTCCCTTTTTTTCGCTTTCCGCATCATAGTTAAGTTCCAGCAAAGACCTCACACGCTTCATTGCTATATCATAGTCCTGAAACAAATTAAGAAAGTAAATAGGACCAACAATGGAATGAACATCCATCTAATTCGGTCAACTTTTTTCAACAAGTATGGAATAGCATATAGTGCCCAGATAGAATTTTTTCCGAATGGATAAAAATACTGTAATCAGTTAATACTATAATCATTTATGCAAAACTACACATTAAATAGGACGAAATGTAAGCTGACCACTAAGCTGCTTTGACTATGGATCCTAAACGCAGTATATGATAAACACTATGCAAAAAAGTTTCATTCGTGACTGAAACTACAACTTCACACCAATTACCTGATCTGAAAGTGGTGCAAATGCATTTTCTAAAACATCACTAGCATGAGCCAGTACTACCAAAGATATCAACCTTTTTTCCATTCTCTGTACATCATTAGTCCATCTGGAGAGTACGGTTTCTTGAACTTTCTAAAAGAAAGTTTTGAATGATCTTTTATTCTTAATGACTTGATTTCAGTTTCATTCCCTTCCCATCCTTAAGAAATTTCATAACTTATGAAATTATACAAGTAGAAATCAACACAACTGTAAGTAACGTACACTTCTGTTCACATCCTGCACAAAACTATGTGTTCACAACTAAACGTTTTAATTTAATTTAATGTAAACTGATATAGGGAATCATGATATTTTTCATTCGAAGCAAGAAATAATATTTGCCTGCTGTTTATTAAAATACAGTGGAAAAAAGATCTGAAAGACGATAGAAATATAAACGAGACTAAGGCACGAGCAACGAATTACAACTCAGTAGTTTCAACAATACGCTTTTGCAAACCGCCAAAACTGAATAAATTTTGCAGCAGTTTTCAAAAATTTGGCATAATCTTACGATTATAACACTTATTTGATGAAATGCTATACTTGAGTCGATGGAATGACTTAATTGAGAGAATCCAAAAAAAAAAGGACGAATAAACCTTTATAAGTTTTTGCTTCATGTTGCCATCGTAAAGGGGATGAGTAGTCATGTCAAAAAGAAAAAAGTTCTGCTTTTCCGTTGTAAGTACACCTTTTTCTACCAAATTTTTTGCCAACCGTTCACGAACATTCCGGAGCTAAATAAGAAGCCACTACTTCATCAGAATTTTTCAAATCAATACTTGGCTATTCATGATTCAGTGATAACAGCACTTCTAATTACTTCTGACATGCAATAAACATGACTGCTGCATACAAAGCAAAAATCTCGGCTTGTGTTTTTCTTAATGAAAGTTCAATTAGTCACTTGAAAGCGCAGTTTAAGTGGATTCCACGTCTCTCCACTGAGATATTCAATCCAACTGGTTACGGTTTCTGCTGGATGAGTTTCTTTAATATGTTTTAATGCTTCGTCCAAGATCACATCTCCAGTCGGCTGATCATTTTTCAACAATACCTACAAATATCCAAATTTGAAACGGAAATTTAACACTTTTGAAGCAAATTCCTAAAAAGATTTGTGACATTAACTGAAGCAAATGCATGAGATGACAATAACAAACCTTCCTGCTTAATAAACTTTTCTTGCGCATTCCAGATTTTTCCAGTTCTATTCGCCCCCTAAGTGCCAATTCAATAAGGACGCATCCACGAAGACCACTGCTGATACAATCATTCCAAAATGACGTATAACCCTTAAAAGTTAATTACATATTTTATTTCAATTATTAGCATTTTTCCCTATTACTGAAACACTTTATTTCTGAGTTGTTTTTAATATAAATACATAACCCGTCTTCAGTATTTCACTTTTTCTCAAAAAAAAAAAACTGACTTTTCCCACCTAATGATCAACATATGCAGGGTTTAACATCTTACAGACTTCACTTTTTTCATTTTACAAAAAAACTAACCTCCCTGTCTTTCAGTCCTAACAACAAAATTTGCTCCATTAATGTTAATCTTGTAGCTTTGTCATTATCGAATCCTTCTTCTGAATCATCACTTTCCACATTTCCACTGTCACTGCAATTCTAAAAAACGACAGAAAACAATTTCATATCAAAGCAGATAATGAGTCATAATGTTTTGCATAGTTACTTTATTCTTCTTCATATGTACTTGCGATGAATATTAATTAATCAACCAGACAGGAAGACAAGCAAAATCGACCGACCAAGTGCAGGAATCTTCGGAAAATTGAACGCTAAATTATTAACAACCTCGTTATTTTTCACTACTGCGGGAGTTTTTCGTCGTTGAACGAGACCATCTGCCATTGCACAACTTTTAAGATGGAAAATCTGGAATTAGGAATAAATTTAACAGCATAATTTAACTCTCTTAAAATAAAAATTTGTAATAATAGGAAAAACGTATATCAACAACAATCTATATCAAAAATGCAAAACGAATCTAAGTATGAAAATGCCACCAATCTATCCTCTACATTAATTCGTTGTAAATTTGAAAACGTAATGGAAATTAAATACATTACAACTATGTAGAGTTATAATATTAGAAAAAAGTGTTGTAAAATACAATATTTGAACTAGTGTAATACCCATTACGGAGCACAGGGCACCAAGTCAGTATAATATTTATAGATTTCTGACAATTGAAAAAATGTTTTAGAAATTGTAAATTTGAAATCGTAAAAATGGTTATGGAGATTGAGTACACTGCAAGTATATTGAGTTATAATATAGAAAAAATGTGCTGGAAAACATAATACTGAAATTAATGCAGAGAATAGCACTTATTATAGCGTATAGAGCACCAGGTCATCATGACATATGTATACTTTTGACATCTAAAATAGTGTTCCAGAAATCCGAGAAGTAAGCTAAAATATTATCAGAAAATATGGACCATCACTTCCCACATCATCTAACTCCTGACCTCAAATCAATGAACTTCCCCGACTTCTGAAGCACTACAAGTGTTGAATAAACAAATCTGATGTGACATTCTTCTCTCCCCAACTACTTATTATCAAAACATCAAAACATCGCTTTAGGGAACAGGAAGTCTCCTGCAGCTTTAGAAATATCAATCATAATATTATCATGCATTTGGTTCCTTGTTATCGTCTTCGGCAATTTCCTCAGTGCGCTTTTTAAGTCTTCTGTTGGTTCTGATATGTTCCAGTATTTACTGATGTATACAGAACTCTAGACACGGACAGGTAATTTATTCACCCTTACCGTATCTGTGTTCAATTTTGTGCCGAACGAAACCACTATCTTGTGATTATGTTATGTACAAATCTTTACCGTGGCTGGTCGCTAAAGAACTTAGGTACTGAAAAAGTTACTTGCGGAGAGTGAAGGCTTTTATGACCTCTTTTGTATTTTATCCTCATTTAATTGAGAAAACAGAAAACTTGAATATTCAAAACTTACGAATTTTTTGTCTTTATAAGTCGGAAAAGCTGGAAAATCTCGAATATTTAGTAGAAAACCACAGTGTTATCAATAACAGCACCACACCCTCAAAACGTTTTGTCAAAATTTCCGCAATCGATGCATTACTGTTGAAATGTTGTAGACATGTTTTTACTTCAAGGAACCGCAAATGACTAAGTCTATAATATGTATACTCTTGGAGTTGGCATATGGCAGCGTTTGGTACGAAAAAGAAACTATCAGGTTGTTATTGTTGGGCTGGACAATGCTGGAAAAACGGTAGCAAAATTTATATATAGTTTCTTTAACTCGAGGAGGTGTCAATATAAGACATCCAAACTGATACTGCATGTAAAGTAATTCTGTTCTCTGGAATATTTTGACATATATATATATATATGTCAAAATTATATATATAGTTTGGATGTCTTATATTGAGACTCCTCGAGTTAAAGTGAACAGCCATAATAAAGGTATGGCTGTTTTCTTCAGAAGAAAAAATATTTGTAAAATTTAATTACATATTTGAGTCTGAATGTAGTAATGGAGCAAATTATTTGCAAGAAACCTCGCCAGTCTTCGCAAGCGTAGAAACTTTCAATTTACTATCAACAAAAAATACTCCGGTAAAAGTTGTGAACTGCGTGTAAAGTAATTCTGTTCTCTACAGTATTTTGTTAGTGCTGTTGTGAAATTATTAGTTTTTCTCCAGTGTATTTGTTATTAATAATGAATTCAGATATGCATCAAGAAGAGCATTTATTAGAAAGTGATGACAGTGAAAGTAAATAATTAATGTCTGACACTCGTGAACTGTAATTCTGAAGACCGAGTTAATTTTAGACATTTTTGGAACAAATCAAATCAAGGTTCATTAGGAACTACCAAATGCTGAATCCTTTTAAAATCACCAGCACAGTTGGTTTGAACGGTAAGTCTAATAATAATTTCTCATCGAAGTTTATTAGTCATATGATATTTTTTCGTGCATTTTTAGTATAATCTTGTAGGTATAATATATATATTTGTTTTTGAAATGGAAGTATATTACTTATTAGCTAAGATTGTATCTGCTTAGTGATTGCTTCTTATATATATATATATGTCTTATATTAAGACCTCCTGGAGTTGAAGAAAATAGCCATGATAAGTTATGGCTATTTTTTTAAGAGAAAAGATATTTGTACAGTCCTAGCTTTTCAAACTTCCCATTTTATGCTTGACAGTTTGACATTTTTAATTGGATCAATTGAATTGGACTCTCTGCGACTTAATTTTTGGGATCTCGGAGGACAAGGAGAATTGCAACCACTTTGGCTTAAATATTTCGATGATTCACAAGCAGTTATATTTGTGGTTGATTCTTGTGACCAACGCCGATTTCCGGAAGTTGGCGAAGCTTTCAGTTTGTTTATCGAAACTTTGCGAGTGATTACTCGTTTATAGTTTTATTCTGTTTTTACTGCAGCCTTATTATATTGTAAATTCACTAAAATTTTTCAGAACTCATAATGAACAGTGAGGCAGTCCAAAAAATGCCAGTTTTGGTGGCTTATAATAAAAGTGATTTGGAAGAATATTCAGCAACGGAGGAAATCAAAGTTTTAACAACAGATGATCGACACACAGGCGATTTAGCTTTGATACCAATATCAGCCCTACAAGGCCTCAACATTGAACACTGCATTCGATGGCTTTGTACGGCACTGTCAAAGAAAGCGGATGACATCTTATGATTCTGTTTTATTTCCATTGGCTATGGAACGTAACCTTCAGTGTTAAAACCAGGAAAAAAGAGCTTGCTTAAAATCTTCCGACATAAAATTAGAAGTCCTTTTGTATTAAGAACGTGATACGCGACTTTACACAAAGAGAAAACATGCTTTTCTGTAATGAGAACTCTCGCCATCCGGAGAAGATTCTCATCTTAGCAAATATGGCTGAAGAATGATGGTAAAAACAAGATACTTTTCACTTCCTCACTGTCTTCGTGTCATGTGTTGCAATGTCTGCTCATTAATTTTCGAATCTAGCGACCAATTTAATTGAAAGTGAACATTTGATATAATGCAAGGAAATCTGTGTATGACGCCGCATATAATCATTTTAATAATAATAATTGAGACAATCAGAAATTTTTGGTAGTTTTCGCGACGTACACGTGAGGGATAGTAGAGATGATGGTAATAAAAACAACGTAACAAGTATATTGCACTAGTAAATCAACAGTAATCTCTGCTGCCAAATGTTTTCGGTAGTGGCAGCACACAACACAATAAGAAAATAGACATTTAGAAATTAAGCATCTCTGATTGCCATAGATCTTGATTGAACTTCATAATTCAAGCGTTGCGCGACGCAAAGAAAGTGATTGATACAATTAGAGAATAATCAGGAATAGTCAAGTAAAAAATAAAAGTCAAGATTAAAATCTCTTGACATGGAAGGGCCGCATTTAAAGTGGGGTTCATCTATATTAACGCACGAAATATGCTAGAAAACGATTACAGTCTAAACATTTATACCACATCAGATAGAGTGAAGTAAAGCTCAAATTATAATTTCAAAATTATTCAGAAAAGAAAGACTGTCTAAGAACTCAAAAAAATTGCCAATTAACAAACTCGGGACTTTGAATATAACACAGTGATTATGAATTGAATGACGATGAACAATAGCTGAGAAGCAACATGACCTACATCTGACAAATATGCTCAATAATACATGTTTGTGAACGCTTTACTCGTCGTAAAGCTTCTTCCAAACTCACCCACTCGCGTTGCCTTCCAAAACAGCTATCTTCCCATTCTTTTAACTCTTCTATTACTGTTAATAAGAACACTGCCGTACGATTCCGCCTCTCTTCATCCTAAACTTGAATTCTATCCCGTTTGCAGCAACAAAACAAAAAAAAAGCAAAGCTCGACCCAGAAATTATAAAATGAAACAAAACTTTGAGTTTTATGGTCTTGCGATCATTCCTCATTGCACGAATGAGCCATAAACTTCAAGCAATAACAACATAAAAATGTTTGTAAGATTATTTGATATACAGTAATACATCTTGTATATAATAACATTTCTTTTGAAAGCTTGCCTTAAACTCTCCGACACGAGTCAAAATTTCTGCTTTAACTCCCGCTTCTTCTAAAACTTCGCGTAGAGCAGCATCCGAATCATTTTCATTTTTTTCAATACCACCACCTGGGATGATCCAACGGCCGTCATCTTTGCCTCCCGTAATTATCAAGATTTCTCGACTGCTACCTTCACCTCGGGTGCATATCCCAGCAGCTCGTAGACGAAACCCTTCAGCGTCTCGCACTCTTTCTCCATTATTTTTCCGCATTAGCCAAAACAATCGATTTGGAGCTACAGTGAGATCATCGCTACCGAATACTGGAAAATAAACATTTTTAATATACTTGAAAAACATTTTGTACTCAATATTTGAATGCAATAAAAATTTTTAATCCAGAAGGCATCTAACTTTTAATTAGGTGATTGCAGGTTCGAGACCTGCCAGGATCAGATATTTGATACACTATGCAGAAAAAGTCTTGTTTGCACGACAAATACACAATACTATACATTATTTGTTACCTTTGATTTAATAATCATATTTAAAGTGAGTTACTTTATTATACACCTCAATTAATAGAGAAGTTTGGAAGTCAGTGTATCCAGGTTAATAGCAAACTCTAAAAAACAATTAAGATGTAAGTCCAAGCAAGTAGTTTTTTGTCACTGATTCGTTAATTTATCTTTCTACCCAGTTTATTAATTCCATTTTCTAAATCATCAATTTTCCTTCGGAACTGACGCAGATAACACAGATAACACGCTAGATTCATACGAGTTCATAAGTGAAACAAAAACAATATTGTGTCCAACGTTCCCCAAACTGATCAAGTGATATCTGACATCCTGAATTATTGACCGAAATTCAGGGATGAACCGTAAGTAATGGAACGAGTACCCTAAATCACTTAAGCCAGCCAAATATTCATAACTCGATGCCTTTTAGCTACAATTGTAAAGTTAACTAGCACAATTTTACACAGCCATTCTAGAAAGCCTCAATGAAAACTAGCCATAATTCGCGCGATTGTTGATGGATGTCGAAGTTTTCAAACTATTGCAACTTTTGCTACAAAGTTTTGAATCAACTTCTGTTGTAGTATGGCTTGAATTGGTGGTAGACATGTTCCGTGCTAGAAGTTTCGCAAGTAACAGTTTGCCGGTAATGGAAAATGAAGTGAGTTTTTAACCTCTAACCCCGAAAGGTTATATACCTTTACAGCAGCATGAGCTGATAGTGGGACTCCGCCTTATAATCCTACTTTTTATTAAGTATTTAGAGTTATTCAAGACATACTAATGAGGCTGAAATCTACCTGTTCAAGTATTTGACCTCCTCACAGTTCCTTCTCTCAAGTTGCTTCATTCTTTGCAAGTAATTACGTATGAAATGTGCATAAGTAGCTCTTGATGTCGGTATTATTCCCATGATGGCCTTTGACCTTTTAATGACCATCTGGCGAGAGATCTGGAATTATTACTTGTTCGCCATATTCATAATTGCTCCTCTGTGATCGACAGGTCTGGCGATGAAAGTCTGATTACTATCTGCTCCGTCTCTGATGCTTACCACTTATGACCGGCATTGTAATAAAATCGTTATCATTTTGTCATGTGAATTCCGATAATCAGAAACTTGGGATATAATGAGCAAGATGGACATCTGCTTCTGATAATTTCTACCTTTTTCTAGGATAAGCAGCAAGTGTAAGCAAATTACTTACATAGTGTGTCTTCTAACCCGTCTACATCAAGAAGCTAAATAAAAAGAATTGGTAGTTTGGTAGACTTAAAAAATGTTGCGAAAACTCTAGCCAAGATTAATTACTACAGATTCCTCCTTCTCACTTTTTTTTGACTTTAACTGGTGATATGAAACAAAATTATATGTGCATGTTTACAATTGCTCAGCTCAAATTTTTATCATTCTGAAATTTTTTGAGGGAAGTAGTGACAATGAGCACTGCACTGCAACATGAAAATGCAAACATTTATTAAACTTTTCAGGAAAAGCAGCGAAAATGAAGGCAGTCAGAAACAAACAGTACTATGACAACAACAGCCAAAAAATTATAGCTACAATGACTGTACCGAAAGATGCAAACCAGCAATTATAAGACAAGGCTGGGAAACTTCCCTTCGCATTATCACACAACCACCAATCGTTTTTTTCAGTACTGCAGCCTGTCGGCAGGGCTCTCATGTAAAATTTAGACACGTCAGTGATTCGAACCTCTACCCATCTCCCCAAAAGGCAGTTCTCTGATGCTATGAGAAAATGTTCGTAGTATTTATTATGACCTACGTAATGTTTACCATCAGTAGCCATCTCACATACAAGTACACTATGTTTCTCACCAATTCGATCTTTACCATATCTTGAATACGACCGAAAAAGTCCTGACATTTCCGCAGTTCGACGGCGTGCCTAAAGTGTAAAACGGGTAAGCTTCATTTTGAAGACTTCAAGTAACCAAAATTTAGAATTATACAAAATAAAATATAAACCTTTACTATCACAACCAAGTTCATACTAGTATTTAGCTACTTACAGAATTTATCTATACTAGGTCGGAAACTTTCTTTGATTGCATTATAAAGGATTTTCTTCTAACAGTCAATTTTAAAAACTATTCTGGATTTCATTCTCTCATGAAGTTAAAGACTCTGCAAAACATACATTCACAACACTTAATTCTCGCCTACTGACTTTATTATCTGATTAACTAAATAACGGTTCTCAGCAACCAAACAAGATCAGTGATTCCCTCGCCTCACTTAATAATGTTTTACTGCTGGGTTTAACTCTAACTAATCTTATCAACAATGACAATTCTTTGAGTTTTGTTAAACAAAAAACGTTTTCACTGCTGAATACATAAATGCACACTTCAGCCGTATCTATTTTCTTTAATTTAGCTGCTGGTGTTCCAATTCTTGGATAAAACTGATTGATAAACAGAGAAGGAAAACGATATTTCCGCACTAAGGACATACTTTCCTCGAAGTCATCCTCCGTTTCAGTAGGATAAGCACAAATGAAATCTGTTGCTATATAAACGTTGGGAACACTACAAAGTATTTTTTGCATGGCTTTTTGTAATCGCATTTAACGGTAAATATATCAGTAAATTAGTTTTCGAATGAAATATTTATATCTTTAAAAAGTTAACCAGATTTCTAAAATCATGCATTCGCATTCGAAATTATAGATTTCCAAACATTGTGTCCACTCGTGTAACTTTCAATTTTTTCTTAGATAATCTTGAATACCTTGCTACAAAAAGAATAGATTCGTGGAAAGTTTAGCGCAGCTTCTTATTAAAAGTAAAATCCACTAACTTTTGAATCATATAATCAACAACTCTGCAGAAGTCTGCAGAAGTATATTCCCGCTTCATATCCGATAACACAGCATCACTTGCAGCTTGTACAGGTATATGCAGAAACGCATAAACTTTTGGATGGTTTAGAATTTTTGCAATATCCTTAAATTTACCGTTTAAATTTTGAAGCTAAAAACATACAAATATAGCACAACACGAATTGTAATTGGCAAAGTATTCCAAGCTGCAACAGTTTCGAAAAATATTGGAAAGATAGCATAAACGAACCTCAAGATAGTCAAGTATGTAAGGAGGGTTCGTCATTCCTAGGCGTAGCATACATCCTTCAGGAATTATTTCTACGACAGCATAAAGTAGATCAGGCAAAACCTGGGAAGCTTTATTTTACAGACAAGTTGTAGCATCATTAAATTTTAATTCTATAAGAATATACATTTTTCTGCTTAACTGTAGAATCTGGGAGGAAAGTTTTATTGTTTTATTACGATGATACTTTCTTTACACATATTTATATAAATAAAGCCATATTGTGCAACAGCTTTTTTTCCCAAAGTTGTTATTGCAATATTCTTAAATTGGTAGTAGACATAGTCCTCACTGTAACAGCACTGCAGAAGTAATAGTTTCCAAAAATGGAAAATCTTCTATTTTATTTTACTGTACTAGCAGTGTTTAAGCAACCAGTACTGATTAAAAGGATCAAAAAATATACTTTAGCTTATTTATCGCTTAAAGAAATTGTGTAAAAATTATTTGGGAAGAATTTGGATTTGATTCTTTTGATTACTTAGTAACAAAAAATACTGCCTGACCTAAAGTAAATAAGCCTCAAAAGGCAAGAATTTCTTTCGAAATAAATGCATTGCATTTAAAAATATCAAAACTAATCAGGCAAATTCAAATTTTTCCTAAATAAATAAAAAATATGCAGATATTGTGTTCAAAACTCATTTAAATACTCTTTTTTCCATAATGAATAGTTAAATCTGCATTTTCAAATACTGAACATTAGGCGAACATGAAAATAACATTTAAAAGAAGAAAATTTTTAACTTTTCTCTCTTGGATATTATTTTCAGCATCTAGAGTTGAAATGATGTGAAAACGAACACATACCATATTAATGTCACGACCCCAAGCTCCCAAGTCTTCCGATGTTAACCAAATTTCTTTACAACCATCTTTCAGCGCATTTCGTACTCGTTGCAGTAAATTTTCAGGCGGAAAACTTACAAGATTACCACGAGACGATTTTGTCTTACAATACGTACAGTGGTTCAAGCAACCACTACTGATTGGAAGGATCAAAAAATAAACTTTAGTTTATTACTCGTTTAAAGAAAGTGTGAAAAACTATTGGGAAAGAATTTCGATTTGAATTCCTTCATTAAAAATTAGTAAAAAGAAGTATGGCACTACTTTCTAGTATTTCGAATGAGTCGTATAGACTTCGAGGGAAATTCTAGTCCAAATTTCATTCAAAGTGTATAAGATTCAATCAAAAATATGAAAGTTTCTTAATTTCCTCGAATATTACCAAGAACTGAAGAACTGATATCAATATAAAAACAAAGTCAATGCTGACGCATTGAACATTCCAAAATTAAATACATCTACCTCAACAAATTTGTTTTTTCGAATTTTAGGAAGCAGTTGGTTTAAATCTGGTCTCCTTCGAGATAGAAATCTAACACAATTTCCTTGAAGGGTTTCTTCTACTGCCATAACTATGTATTCAATCTGTTTAACTCCAATTATTGTGATGCCATCCAAAAATCGTAAATTTGGTTCAGCCTACCAAATACAATAACTCAGAAAATACATGACTGATCAAAAACGTAAGGAATTGCAACGAAAATGCACTATAATTCGTAATTATTTCAGGATAATCCATGTGATATAAATCTATTTTTTTTTTGCAAAAAATCGAGAGTTTCTGCATGAATAAGAAGACGTTTGTCCACCTTGCATACAACAACTCACTTCCCATTTATACCGACTAGTGTAAAATTTTTTTTTGCATAATTTACCTGAGACACACATCCAGCAGCAATGACAAACTTGTTTAAATTTCGAGCTTCTTTAATCATATTTTCAAACTGCGTTTCAGATGGTGTTTTTACGGTACAACTATTTAATATCCATAAGGATGCATCATTCTGAAAAAACATTTTAGAATACGATGCTTCTATGATATGTACTTTAATGCCATATGTTCTTATTTACGATTTATAAATATATAGACAGTCAACCACCTAGCAACGCAGTGCGAAATAATGTTATGTGACGACTCTACTATAAGACACAATGAGGTCCTACGATGCATCCGTTTTGGACTCTGCAAGAACTATAGTCTGAAAACATTCCCGCGCATGCAAAGCAATTCTGTTTAGGAGATCATCGCGAATGAGAACGTAAAGATCAGAGTCGACACGCGAGTGAGGACAGCTATTAAGATAAGTGAGGATCGACAGTATATCATGACACACGATAAGAAGCGATGTGAAGTATACTGATAAAGGTGGGCATCACTAGTTAGAACAGGTTGACAGCAGACGAGTCCGAGAAAAGACATAAATATGAGCTACTAGCTAAACAAAACCAGTGTATCTTGGGTCAGATGAAATGCAGGACGAAAATAATCCGTAAGTGATTACTTGAGATGCGATAGTGACGAGCTTCCATAAACGTTTCGCGAACAAAATCAGTGTATCTGATCACGTTGAGACGTAAATCCAATCGAGAGTGCTGAAGAATACACTTGAAAGCATCTCACTCGATCAGTGCTGTGGGTTTGACGAGGGCGAAGCAGCGGAGACCAGCACGGCAGAACTGAGCCCAGGGTGAATGCAGCGAGAATGCGGAATAAGATCGAACGCCAATATCAATAATACGAAAGAGAAGACTAATGTCTATATTTTCTTGTTCTTTTCTTTCATGTAATATAAATTATTTGCAGAATCATGATCCAGACTACTGATCATAATAAATCGAAGGTTGAAAGTGACCTTTTGATCTGTTAACTGGTAACCTGCAGCATTTAGCAAACCGGCCATTTGCTCCGAATCACTGGTGTTATGTGTACAACCCCACGTTTTCAAATAAATCTTCTGTGTACCTTGTAGATAAAAAAAATAAATGCTTAAAATTAAAAATTTTGGAAAGGGAATGTTAGTTTTACATGAATTTTTAACTTAAGACCAAACAAATGCCCCCAAAAAATAAACAGATATATTCGATTCAATAACTGGAAATTTGACTCTATATTTAAGATTTCGTTCTTTATTACACAAAATAGTTTAACGAAAATACTATCAATTTACCTATTCAGAACAAGTAAACATCTAACCACCAATACCTGGTACAAAACTATCACCACAGAATACTTCGTTACTTTCCCTCAGTCGTCTTCGAATAATAATACGATCCCGTTGACTACAATTTCTGGTAGCACTGGAATCACTTATAGCATCTTCAATGTCGCCTGTAGTTTGCATAATTTCCAACAAACACAACATTAAATGTTGTCCACTATAATTTTCACGCTTACTCAGACGACCGCATACTACTTTTGTATTCCATAAATAGCTAATCTAACTACAATATATATCTTTAAGTTACAAATACCTGGCAAGAGACTATCGCAGAATATTTCGCCGTTATTCCCTGACAATCCGATCAAATGTTCGGACCAATCCTGATTCCCGGCTTTTATGGTTGCAGCACCTCTGTCCCCCATACCTGACTGCACAATTCATTAATTACCGAGAAGTTTGATCCTGCTAATTATAAGGCCTAATTACGAAAGCTTCTGAAACATCTCCTACTCCATACTCTTATTTTGTCATGAATACAGCTTGAACTCAAAGAAATTGCCAAACTACAATTTGTATATCCAAAACTAACAATTTAGCATCTACTCAGTTTCCTGACTGGTATGAGCAAACAATTAAAATGGAATAACTAAGATACAACCCATCTGATTCGAAGTCTACGTTTACAAAGCTATTATGAAATAAAAGGATGCAAATCGCTAGCAAGCATCCAAAAACTAGCTTTATTCTAAAAACAGTAATGTTTTAAACTAAGAAGGGAGTTATCTGAAAGGAAAACAATGCTTCAACCTTAATCATGCTGAGGTAATTAATGTAACTCAATAATGACTATTACAAAAATCGACAGCAAAAAGTAGGACATAAGTACTAGTAATTCAAAAAACGTGACAAAATGTGCAACAACAAGATATATTCATGAAGCTGCAAGTTAAGTCATAAAATGCTGAAATAATTAAGGATGAAAAATTTGTGTTGGAACATTCAATAAGACTTAAACACCTATCTGTATCCAATAGCAATATTCCATTTGAACTTGTAGCTTCAGTACATATACATTAAAAAAATCTCATAGAGAAAACCTTAATTTCACAGAGTGATTGAAAGTTCACACAAATACTATATACCAGCATCATAAACCAGAAATGATATTTGTAACAATCACAGTACAAATAATTATACACAAAGAATACTAATTGACTTTAATTTAAAAACAGAAAAACTATGATGGGAACATCTCACTGATAATACATTCAGCAAAATGATAACGAAAGTTTTAAAGACACCAACGACTGAAATGATACACTATAAATAATAGATACTAGAAACTGAAGAAATACATCTGAAATAAAAAATATGTCATCTCAGTTTAACTCATCTCAACTTATGATAAAAATGCATACTAATCGCTATCATAAACTAAAGTTAGAATTTTGCAACAAACGAACTGAGAATGGATATTCTATAAATTACTGTTTCGTGAAATTTTTCAAAAAATTTAATTCTGCAGAAATCAAGCCAAATAATAGCGCTCCTATACGAGAGTGGCAGAAAGTACAGTATAAACATCAGAAACCGAGCTTAAATAACAGATTACAAAAATTATTGTCGAATTCACATTCAAAACGAATATCAAACAATTATTGAAAAATTTGTGGAAGATATATAGCTAGTTAAGTGATATATGCTCTACGATATACAACAACGATCTACGAAATTTCCGTTAATTCTTAATAACATTTGTTTTTATGTCATTCATAACACATAAGAAGTGAAACTGTACACCTAAAGTTTCTGAATAACTTCCGAAGAATTCTCAATGCTCAGGTAATGGAGCGTATATATGAAGTATCATAATATAAAATAAGAGTTTTCAGAAAAGCCATTTCCCGACGAGCATTTTCAAAAATAATACGTGGGTCGTCACTTACACATCGTAGAACATTAGGTGCCATTACCATAGCCAAATTGCACACATCCATTTTTGTACATTTTACTGTTTCTTCTTCTGCCAGTAACTAAGAAAGATATAATTGCATAAAACAAGCATTTCTTTAACAGAAAATCTTAACTCAGCTAATAGAACATTAAGTTTCAGAATCTCAATAGACTAAAAACAATTAAATATGTTGAAAAATATTCATTCAAAGCAAATTAGACAATAGATACCTGAAGCAGCTCTAGTAATTTTGCTAGAACTAAACGGTTCACACTAGGAAGCAGCTCAACTATGCGGCATGCTTCTTCAGGTTGATCACATACTAACAGAGAGCGCTGATAAAACGTATCTGGTAGAAGTGGTTCTGGCAAAGAACGTAACCACGATTTCAGTAATGCAGCTGGAACATGAGCGTCCCGAACGACTGGTATAAGTCCTCGATCAAGACGCAGCCTTGCTAAAATTTCAAAAATTAAAACTAGAAAATGGGCTGATAAACTAAAATTATGAGGCGTAGAGGTTCAGATTTAACCAATTTTACACTGAATACAAATAACACCGTAAATTTATTCATAATTTTTAAAAGCAAATCGCTATTATTTTTTTTGAACACTGTTAACGAATCAACTGAAACGCAAAACAAAAAATGATGAAATCACTTTGTAGGTGAAAAACAACCATTTCTTAATCTGATAAGATGCCAATCCACTTAAGATTTTGACTACCTGTATGAATGTGATCCGGATCAGCTGGTACGCGAAAAAGACCCTCTGTGTGCTGCCCATCAGCAGATAAAATCAAGTCTATTAGTGTTGTTTCTAGCCAAGGTAAAATCCTAAATTAATGGTGATGAATTTCGAAAATAATAGGTAAGAGGAAGAATTAAAAGATCATCAGGACTCAATAATAAAAAAATTTGTCCAGAGCAGAAGACTTAATATTATATTATTGCTACTAAAAAAAAACTGGCTCATACATTAATAAATCAACGAATCATAAAATTTAGAGTCATGATTAATATCAGATTACTAAGAAAAATTAAAGAACCAGTCATTTTAATTTCATGATGCGAAGTGAACAATCAATCTTCTGATCAATTTAATTATCTTGAATTAAAAATTACTATAATAAGTAATAACTATGACCACTGGAACTGACCGAATACCACAAAATTTTTCCATGCATAGATCAAGATATTTGATGCTCAAAAAACAAGAAGAAAAGCTATTACAAAAAATAAGCAAAGATAAACCTTTCAGGATATTTGTCGGCTTGCATCTCCATCAATTCTTCCAGAGGTGCGTAAAATTGCGATGGGTTAAAAATATGGACACGAGATTCTTGAATTAAACTAAGGGCTGGTTTTGGTCGAGTAGTTGATAGACGCATCAAACGTCTACTGCACTGAACGGCATAATGAGAAACGGGTACCTTAAACTTCTCATAATTAATGATATGCACGATTTTAACTATAGCAGCAAATTAAATCAATATTTGCACATCAGTTTTATTGGATTCATTTCATTAAGGAATTTTAATTTTCGTCCATGGTTCTGAGTTATCATAACTGAACCCAGTATAATCCTTTGAGTCCTAAAAATCAAAACCTCTTGAGACACACATTTTACTAGAATTATTAAGTAAATCAAATACCTCAGGCATATCCAACAACCGATCAGAATTTGCTTCAATAAATTCAGTTAATTTATGAGCTATTTCTGGATTCGATGGAGAAAAAAAAGACAAAAAAATAGCAAGCAACTCCCATCCACGTCGTATCGAATCAAATCGTTCGTTACCCGTCAACTGCTTTAAAATCTGACAAAAAAGTTCATCAGCTAAACTTTCTTTCGAAATACCCCATTCACATAATGTAAGTGCCAACTGAAATTGTTATAAAACTGAAAGCAAACAGTATGAATAGTAAATAAAAATAGTAAGAAATTTTTGAAATCCGATATCTGGAACTGATGAAAAATGTACAACGAAGAATAACGAGAAGTTTTAGAAAGATAGCGATGTCCATTCAACACAACATTGTAACAAATTCCCTTTTTTTTTCAAAATTTGAACCAAAAACCTAAGATTTTCCAAAATTTTAACCTGATCATTCGAAGTTTTACTTTTTCGATCACCCATATAACATTGGATGACTTTGAACATATTTGATGCTTCTTTTCTCACATGTTTGTCTTCCATATTGCCAGAAACTGGTTGTTTGATAGATTCCTTTGTCCAGCAATTAAGCGACCCATGAGAGATATCATTATGATCCCGAACTTTTGAACTTGAGACCGAAGTATGACATTTTTTCAACTCTGTACCATTATCAAGAGGAATGCGATTACTGTTCATTGCAAGGGAAGAACTGGAGCTACGAGTTGATGACTGAATGATAGATGGTAAAATATTCGTTGATGCGGATGAAGTAGTACGAGTTGACATTACTGAAAGAAAGAAATTTTACAAAATAAAGAGAAATAAATCGGTTACTTCATTGAACGAAAATCGTAGGTATCATGAACAAATCCATCAAGCATAAAAATTCATGCAAAACAATTCAAACCACCCATTTGTAAACATCGTAGAAAACTGAGCTTAAAAACAAGTATTACCGAAGATTTGAAAGTGATATCATTTGGCACCTAAAAATTTGTACAATTTTCGGGTTTTTCTGCTTTAATTTACTTTTTCCAATATTTTTTGATTTTACCTGTTTGCGGCTGATGCAGTGATATAGAATGGCTTTCAAATGAGTTATCTCGAGGAATAAATGAAACAGGAGGAAGGAAAGGCACATTTCGTGCCCGATCTGAGTAGATATGCATATCCTAAAATAAATCTGAGTAAATATGCATATTTTAATATAAATCAACAATAATTAAAAGTGAAAAAAATCGGAATATATTTTCTACAAAGATACAACTGCAGTTTCTCATATAATATAATTGTTGTTTTTCATATATTACAGAAATTACAAAGTAATCTGACCCTATTATAGACAGATTACTTTGCGATTTTTCACGTCAGTTTTGCCCATATCAATCTAAAACATAATCCGCGTCAGATGCCTAACAAAGGAATTACAAACAACGGAAAGTGATAAATAGGTCGATTCATATACATTTAATTCATATATATAAATATTCAAAATCAAAGCAACTAATAAGTTAGGAGAAGAGCAGTTCCAAAGTACTTATCATGAACATGTATACTACACAGGAAACTGAAGTTTTCATTTCCTTCCTTTGTCAAGTTTCTATGCTTTGCAACCTCTCATTCATCTCAGTATTTGTTAAATACTTCTAAAAAAAACTTAACCGTGGAAAGATTGAAAATTTTTCAAAGATGCTTTATCACGCAGTAAATGATATTGCATCACATACAAGACGTAACCTGCCCTTCCCTTCCAATGCTAGTATTACTACTGACAATGAACAAGACTACGAAGAAAATTTTTACTGTAATTTTATATACGATGCCGATTATAAACATTTACGAGAAGTTATGACAGCATGACAATAATACCTTTATTCTTTGCCTCTTGAAAATTCAATACAAAAACTACCTGAACATTGCTAAGTAGCGGTTCAATGTAGCCAGGTGAAACTTGCATTGAAGGCGATGCTTGACACAATCTCCTAGATGTGGATGTAAGCGGAGAGCTAAGCTTCCTAGTTGCTACAATTCCTGATTCCGGAGAAACATTCTAAAATGAAGCTGTATTTTGAAATAAACAATATTCATAATACTAGTGAATATAAAAGGCTAATTTATCTAAAACTTGTCCATCTTCGTGCTACAGCTAAAAATGAAGTACAGTACTCGAATATAAACGAAACCTACTTTCCACTCAAAATATTTTGTAGTCATGTAACAAATAAAACGATATTCACAGATTGAAATTACAATAACGAAATATTACTGTCAAAAAATGGGTAAGTTGATAAGAGAATACTTGAGCGAAAACTGTATTAGATAAGCTACGATTACTGCCAGATCTTCGTTCATCTTTCGGTGATGTCTGTGTTTCATTATTCCGTTTCGTTGTCTTCGTTCTTTCGATAACTGAGCACTTGTCATCACACTGCACATTGGAATGAAGTTCTGTATTTTCTTTTAGAGTCTGTAAAAGATAAAGAATGTTTAATAAAAAAAGTAAGATTGAAAAACAAACAAATACATAAAACGGCACTTCAAATTTACTCTTGCAAAAGTGATCTAAGTGTGAAGTATATACTTGAAGTTTCGCAAGCGGTATTATGTCACATCCTGCAGGTTTTTGCCATACTGTTTTCATTGTAGTAGCATTATAGTAATAAAAACGCTGGGAATTACCATCAAATAATTCCCACCACTGATTATTTGCTGTTTTCTTGCTATAAATTATTACACCTTATGCACAAGAAGTAACTATAAATTGCAGAATCAAGTGTTTATAGAAAAAAAAGTCGTTAAACTTGCATTTTAAATATTTACAACCAATCATACAGATTTCCACTTAAAACAAGGGCTATTTATATGATTTTTTGAAACAATATTTTCTCTTTACATAAAAAACCTCACAATTCCTTACTTAAATATTCAAAATGCATACCCGTATAGTAATTTGGGCATCTACAGAAATTCTGAACTTCTTGTTAACTTTCACAAATTAAACATTTAAAAAGGAAACTTACACTGGAACACCGGGAGGTGGTTCCCAAGCACATTGCCCCGTCCGAAGATTTGCATACATGTGTTGCCGAGTCTGTGGCTCCACAATTTCTACCCATTCAACTCTGAAATAGTAAATAATACTATAATAAAAAAGAATTATGTAGAGTTTCCAAACTTCATTTTTCCACTAAAATAACATCAAAATTCAAGGAAAAGGCAAAAACGGAACAATACAACAATAACTGTTGCAATTAACAATTAACTAGAGTAAAGACTTTCACAATTGCTGCAGAATAAAAATCTGCTATTCAGAACTTTGAATAACATCAAAATTTATGCATGAGTACATGATGGGTACCAAATAGGCTATAAATCTTCTCATAAATGAATGGTAAAATGAAAATCAGAACTTGTAACTAACAAAAGTGTTTTCGTCCGAAAGAATAAAGTACATAAATCTTCACTAAAGACTTCGTAGTAATGAAGTCTTTTTTTTGCATAAATTTAATGCCAGACAGAAAAGCTACTACAATTAATGTTTAAAGAGTACTTTGTTCCTGACGAGCAACTCAAATCACTTTCAGTCTCGGCATCGCCCATGCTTCTAATGCTTTTTGTTTGAAAGTGATGAAGGTATTTCTTGCACAAATATCATGTCCCTGAAACTCATGCTATATCTTTTAATAAACACAGCAGTTACTCACAAATGCTTCACACGTCACTCATTTTAACAATCACAAGTTACTAAATTAATAGGCAAATACCACTTTCCCTTAAACAGATAGCAGAATACATCGCTACGAAGTGCGGCCAGCGTTAGATTTTGGCGACTGAGGCGCAGAAGCTAGCAGCTCCTTCAACAAAACATTTGATTGACGTACCAATTAGGCGTACACTGTTTTCAATTTTGAACTAATTCAAGTCACTACTTGCTACATTTTTAACTACGACCACTGAAATTAATCACCAAGCAAATTTAAAAGCTGAGTAATTTTGTTAACCTAATGTTATATCCGTTATATTATCTCTAATGTAGTAATTTAAAATGAAATATTCGCACTAGACTTTTGAAAACACTTAAAAGTTTCACGCAGCAACGTGAAATATCCTTCTATAGAAAAGTTGTTGTGTGCGGTGACATAATTCATAGTGAATTAATTATTAAAATACCTTTAATGTTGAGGCACGTTATAGTTATGACTATGAAAATGATTGACATGAAATGAGATGAATTTTCGACAGTTAAAAAATGTGTGGCTGGAACTTTTATTTTCTACCTGCAGTAGTAGTAGTAAAATAACACAGTGTGAGAGCCATTAAAAAGAGCAGAAAAAGGATGCAATATTGGAGAGAAGCTGATTTATTGATTTACTGCAGTATTCAAATGGATAAAAATTACTGATAATTCAAAAAATTGCAGTATCTGTCATGTTTATGAATAAATCATAATTACAAGCCCAAAAATTTAAAGTGCAACTACACAACCCACCTTTGGAAAACAATGGATAGAAGAATACATAATTAATACATGAAAATGTGTATAAATGTAAGTGAATGAAATTTTAAAGGGAATGCATATAGTTACTGAGAAGACCAAATATCGCTGGAGAGGAAGTAAACTGGCAGGATTAGATTAGATGTAAGATCCGTTCGATACATTATCACACCTATCACTTGGCATGTTTCTTCATTGCAGTCCAGCTATTTTGTAGATTTGAAATGCATGAAGATTCGTAATTGACTGACATGTTCTCATGCGTTTAACGTAAGCGCATGAGAATGTATTGATCTTCTTAGCTGCCATTATTTTTCGTACAAAAACTGACCATTTTTAAAAGGATTTTGGCATGATTTATTGCAAACATAATTATTAATTTATTCTGGAACCTGAGATTCATTTGGACTCAGAGTACGAAGAGATTGCTTCCCACGACCGCAATCAAAAAATAATATTTAATTACAGCAAAGTAAGAAATACCGAATTCCTTAGAGTTATTACTGTTGACATGCTATACGCAATAATAGTTGCTTTAAATTTGAGCAAACAGTACTCTCTCAATATATATAACTGGAAGAAACATAAAATTTGAATAAGCAAGCTGCAGAGAGCAGTAGTTTCCTAAATATTCAAAAACTGAACCACCAATCAAATGCTTATCTACTTACACAAATTAATCATGAGCAAAAAATTTTGGACTACGCAGTAAGACTTTTCATTATTTTTACATCTATATTGTACCTACTGCATCTTTTACATACATAACAATCAGTTGCACTCAAAATGATTATTTCATATGGAAACACAATCCTCCGATCTGATTGTCACACTAATCAATAATACCTAAGTAATGCTGGCAGAGACATTTTTGTGCTTCTTTTCATTTCTTCGTAATGAATAACAAATTGAGTAAAAATTTAACTAATACTACATGACTGATAGAAAGGTAATTAAGACGGAAGGAAGGTAATGAATATTAATGCTTGAAATTCGTTGTGAAAACAAAAATTTTAATTAGGATTTTTCATAATTTACTTGATTTTTTAAATATAGCAGACCTGTTTAGCGCTACTTAGTTTGATATAACAGCTAACAAGTGAAGATTAAAAAAAGGTAAATAAATTTTTGACGACGAAAGTTCTGAGGAAAAGGTCGTCGGGAATAAAAGATAAGTAAGAATCGATGAAGTGTAAATTTGATAGATAGATGGATAGATGGATAGATGGATAGATAAAACTAGGAGGATAGAATAGTTTGCTATGAAAGCAGAGTAAAGTTTGAAGAGATAGAACGAAAAGCATACGCATATCGAAAAGATAAATTTTTGATGTCAAAGGTGAAAGGATGAGAATGGACGGGAAGACGGATCGCAAAGTACAGGAACAAAGCATTTTTGTTCCATTCTACTTTCACACGCTGCGCTTTCCATCTAATCCAGTCTAGCTAGCTTGGCTCAATCCAGTCGGTGCAGTTAAGGCCAGATCCAACATCAAGCGCATCTTCCGGATCTCTCCATTTCCACAGATCTATCATTGTTTCTCATCTATGTCGCACAGCAAAGTTCTCACAGGCAAATAAAGTATGCATGAGGCAGGCTAAATCCTGCCTCTTCTCTTCACTCTTCTGCTACGCTTGATGCTCGCAGTTTAACACTGTCCTGCCTAATACTTGTTTAAAGCTCAGTCTGACGCAAATTCTTGGCAACACTAATCAATGCAGAGTTTATTGTAGCAAGCTTACTCACAACTGCTGACTCATTGCTAAACTCCTATTTACTATTGATAATCGTTTCGTCTGGCGTCAAGCTCCGATCGTTCCGCAAGTAACGAAAACTATCGGACGTCATTCAAGAACTAGCTTCCCACTGCATGTATTATTCATTCATTCATTCCTATCTTCCACTTCTCTCAAGCGTATTAGCAATAGCATGGATGTTAATAAAGAATGAGTTTGTTTGCATTGTATGCAATAAATTTTGCAATGATTGTGACGCAAAATGGCGTGACAGCTGGAAACATTCAAGCATTTCTCATTGCCGTCGCCAACCATTGATGGCGCCTGGATTGCAAATAGATAAGTTTAAGCAGACTTGACTAAGAGCAGCATGCAACTCATTTTCTTTCAGTTTACGACACATCGATCGAGCGCAACGTGCGTAACTATGGATACAGGGAGTGGAAGTTTAAGCCATTCTTGCTGCGAGATGATTACTGCAAATAGAAATATATTTTAAATGTATCAAGCTAAATTACGCTTTTTCACGTAAAAGCTTCATATAAGTGAAAGATGATTATTCGAAATATCTTCAGTCAAGAATTAGTTTTTCTGGAACACTCGAGAACTGCAAGTAAAATATACTTCTGTGACGAGTGTTCTATTCCTTGTGGTTTTTTTACTCTTGAAAGGACTTTATTTACTCCGTTTTCGAGCGGTTTTCAAGTTTTTCAAGTCTGAACAGCTAAATCCCAGCCGTTTAATATCAGATCCTTACAACAACTCTATCCTACTACATTAACAATATTGATCATCCCGCGTGAATAAAGTCCTTTCTCTCCTAACCTCATTTCATCAATATGTTCTTGTGAAATGAAGTCGCGACCTCATGACTTGATGAAAAATTTAGGTCTGGGAAAATTTGTTTCAAAAAAACATTTAGCACTCTTCAAGGACATTTAAAAATTTAAACAGCTTTTACGCACCACTTCATGTTTGTATGCATAATCGCTTTGTGATGGTGCTTGAAGCATTGCAGGTGCAAGCTAAATCAGCTTATAAGTCTGTTAAGCATTATACTGGTGCATACTGTAGTTACACGACTGCCTTTTTTATTGTGATTTTCATACTTTCAGCGTTTCTGAAAACGAAACGGATCGGACTAAGAAGTACTACAATAATAAGCGTTTGAAGTGTTAAATTGGAAGATAAAAATTAATGTAGTAGCTTATGTTCTTGGTGCTGACCATTTTTCACTTTACATTTTCCATCACTTGCATTAACTGCGAGAAATGGACCAGACTAAACTTAATGCTTGTAATAAATGTACTTCATGTATTTACTTGAGTTAACAGTGCGAAATGATGCTCGAGGGACCACTAACTACGATTCGATTTTCGTTAACTTATAGGACACACTGATAGCTGTTATAATTCTAGTTATATAAATCAAATTAACTAGTTTCTTACGGTTACATATCAACAAATTCAATGAGTTAGCTCTGCTTACCATGTTCAGTATCAAATTACACATTAAACTGCGCAGCAGGTTTGTTATAGTGCTTCTACATGGCACAAGGTGCTAGTGACGATTGTCACTCTTACGGTGCATGAAGGTCAATATCATCAACCAAAAGATAGGGACCGCGAAGTTGCACCAAGGGTAAAGGTTAGCAATGATGTCGTGCATAGACCAATACTGGGCTGAAGTGTAAGCTGAATGTCTATTTTTGCTTTTACATTTTCAGATCCTCAACCCAAGCGATGGATGTTGCGGCAGTTTCGCTGGTGATAGAAGGAGTAGAAACTCCCGAAATTACTACTGATGATTCTAATTCTTCTACAGCTGCTGCTTGTATTGATGTTATCGCTCCCACAACAAATAGTCCAGTCTCCGGAAAAGACTTAAAAAATTCAACAGAAGAATTACTTCCATCGCACACTAATTCAGGAGATAAAATTATTTTTGAGAGAAGTATGGTAGAATCAGAAATTGAGCAGTCTTCAAGAACAGAAGCTGCAGGAATGATAGATACATGCGAAAATGAGAATATTCTGGGGAATATGAATACCGATAAACAAGAAGCAGATTTATCTATATTAGCATCTGAAACTGCAAAGATTTTAGTAATCAATGATGATGCCTCATCACCAGCGTCTGAGCAAAATTCTGTTGGAAAGAAGATGCCTGCTTCAGTTGAAGACAGTACTGGCCATTTCATTTCCAGCGAATCTAGTAGAACTAAAGTTGAATCGGATGCAAATTCAATCCCTGCGGATGCTATTGGAGTAGAATCCAGTTCTCTTGCAGGAAAAGAGGTGGATAAAGCAAGTGACGAAAGAATGAGAGGAACTGGTAGAGAAGCTGAAAAAGTTGAAACTGTTGATGATAAAGAAGATGATGATGAGAATCACTTTACAGAAACAAATTTTGCCACGCAAATTGATGGTGCATCTGAAGATGACATTATTGAAATCGATACTGAAAAGAAAGAGGAGACAGAGGAGTTTCAAGATGAAGAAGCAGATGATTATTGTGATGAGGTATGACTTATGATTTCACTTCATACGCTTTGTATGCATCTACTCATTTTGGTGAATTGTGCTTTCTCAACATTTTCCTTTTAGTATAATGCGCGTATTTACCTGCATAATTTATCACTACATGTGTTTTAAACTGCATAAAAGTGATACGTAATATATCATATGACATGGTATAATTTGTTAAGGAGCAAGAAGAAGAACCTGATGACGATGAAATTGAAGGCAATCCAGCGTACATTCCGAAATCTGGACGTTATTATATGCACGACTCAAGAAATATCGATGACGAACGTATACATGAACCATCTTCACATTCTAGAGCAGATGGTAAATGGAAACATGATCGATTCGATGAACGTACACAAAGGCCAAAAACTAAAAGAGAACTTATGAACAAGTATGGTTATGATATACGTCATGAGGTGAGGCTTTATGAATATTAATGCGTTATGTAGGATATGCCAAGTAAATAGTCCTTGTTGTCCATTAAAAGTTTTCCTTAATTTCTTTTGGCAAAGTTGTTTAGACTTTTGTATGCTGTTACACAAAGAAATTTTAATGCAAATTCGTGTCACTTCCATGCATAGTTGGATTCCTGATTTTTTTTGCGCCTACCAAAATGTAATTAATACCCAGACTGACAGTAACGAGCTTAATGGCACAAATGGTTCGGTATCCCAACCAAGGCGAGTTCGAAATACTTCTCAGGGTAGATATGGTGGTAATCGCGGCGGTGGAGGTCGAGGCAGGTATTCCGATCGAACAATTTCACGCCAACAAAAGCACGATGATCGGTAAATCCAGAATCCCAATTTCTGATTGTGAAACTCATCTCCTCTTGTTTATATAATTGCAGACGTGAAGACCGACGACCCATACATAGAGGTGTAAGAAGATCATCAAGTCGTGGTGGTCATCGAGGCGAACGCTATCAAAGCCTAAGTCAACAACGAGACCAGCCCGGAACTAGGGTGTTCAAAAATACACCTCCATTTACCCAAAGAGGTGAGTTCATTATTGTTCTGAGTATCTATACCTTTGTTCTGTGAAATCATTCGTTTACACTCATCTTTTGATGCACCGATACTTTATAGCAAGCATCACTGCACTAATTTAAGAATTTTAAGTAGTTTTTAGGAATCAGACCAATACTTATTCTAGTAAAAGTATTACTCAATTTTTCAGCATGAAAAAAAAAAGTAGATAAATAACGCATATTTGTATGCAGATACAACTTTTACCCGAAACTTGTGATTACGATACAGTAGTCAACGAGCAACATTTGATAACATATACCAAACAACTTTGAAATATTAAATAACTAGCAATCCTAGCGAACAACAGAACGTGAGTAAAGATATACACTTATCCGTATATCCACTTACAAGAAAAGAAAATCCGCACTGAATAAAGAATAGGTTGAATTGCCACCCAGTCCTCAAACAACACCATCAAATGTTCTGAGCAATTGACTAGTGAGTGATACGTTGCCGAAGCTGAAAGAACGTGTAATACTTGACTGGACGGCAAAATAACCATGAAAACATACAATATGAAAAGCTCTTCAGAATATATACATTATAAAAGCAATCAATAAAAGAAATTTATATCTCACAATGATTTAGACTTGATAAAAAACGAAAATCCAGTTTTGAAACTGACTGTAGCAATATGATATGCATCATGCTTTATAAATTGTGCAAAACTCTAATATAACTGTTGCAGGTAATGTGAACCGTAGAAGCAATCATCGGTCACATCATCGGAATGAAGAACAAATACGTGATAAACAACAGAACAATGGGGGGAATAGAGAAAGTGGCTTTAGTGCAGGTAACAGTGACGATATGGCAACTCGCGAAAGGGATGCTACTGGGCATACTGGTGGAAAGCGTTACTCTACTCAACGTTTGGCAACAAACTATGTCCCACCGCCTACAGGACAACAACCACTAGCACCACCTCCACCACCGGGAACCGGTCCTATTCCAATGCTACCACCACCAGACTGGCATCAACCAGCCTACCAAACCCAGCCACCAGCTACTGTTCCACCTCCACCAGCAACTCCAGCAGCAGCACCGCCACCTCCTATTGCTGTATCAGCTCCAGTGCACAACTTCCGCTCTAGTGATATTGTCTATTTTGATCCCCAACCTCAGCAGCTGTATCGAACACCTATTCCTCCCCGAGCCAAAAAACGATTAGAAATCGTACCACCACAACAGACCAAAAGTTCAAGCTAATTTTCCTAAACTGCAGATATTCTTCAGTTCACTCTGAGAATCTTCATTAAAAAATTGCACTGATTTACATTATGTTATTTATTTACTTTGCATGTACAATTTAGAAATATTGTCCATTTAGAGCTTTTCTTTGATTATATGAAGTACATTGCCACTGCTGACATTGTGCGTTTAATTTTTATCTTTATAAAGATTTAAAAAAAGGATTAAAGTAATCCTCACAAAGTAGCTCAATAGCTGACCTTAATTACTGCTATGATACGGACTTGTCGATGGTGTTAGTAAATCTGGTGTGTTTGGTGGTTCATCCAATGCCAGTAATGGATCACCTCCTTCAAGCATTAAGGGCCGTTGGTCAGTTGCTTCATCAGATACTCCATCAGTCAAAATACTATCCCAGAAATTCCCAAGGATATCACGACAGTTGTCAATAGTCTGTTCTTGTCCATTTAGATACTCTGCTAACTCTTCTGATATCTGCCTATCCAACGATGGAGACATTGAGATTGGATTAAGAAGTATTGCAGAATTCGTCGGGATTTGAGCTAAACTAGTAGGCTGTGAACCTGTAGAACCCGTAACCGAGACCACTGCAGTTGGTGCTGATGAACTTGCAGCCATGCTACTTTCCGGTTCATCTGTCACATCCGCGATAATTGGACCTTGATCAGAATGTGGTATAAATGTCGAATTTTGTTTTGTTTGCACTGGTTCATTATCAAAGATTTCACGCTGAAGTCGATCAATGATTTCGGCCAAATTACTGGGCGGCTGACTTGACTGCGATGAACTACTAGGTGTCAGTCTTCCTCGTTTAGTATTGATCTGCATTAACTTCGATGATTAAAATTTCTATAAATTTGCTGAAAGGGAAAAAAATAATCTCATTTTCCTCGAATCTCAAAAAATAGACCGCTTTTGCTTGCAATCATTCTTTTAAATCAACAGTCTATTTTAAATATCTGAAAAATTTGATGCCTCCGTCAATGGACATAGGAGAATTTACAAAAATGTTAGTTCAGACTAATCATATTAACATGAGCTAGAATGTAAAAGCTGCAATTATCAGTTATAAGAACAAATGAATTGCGGTGTAAATGCAATCAAAAATACTTCATCGATTGCTAATAGATTTCGCTTCTTAAGGGGCTTTTGCGATGGTTGCACGAGAGCAACCAAAAACTGGACTAATTTGTGGACAACATGTTGCTGCTTCACGTGCTGATTTCGAAGGTGCGATACTTGTTGCCACATTGACTCATTCTCCCTGGAATTATTATTAAAGCTTAAGGAAACAAACATAGCACTAATGTTGAAGATTTATTACAAATACATGTGCAGCATATATTTAAATTTCTGAGAACAATTTATTTTAGCAGTAGAAGTTTATGCTCAGTTCGCCATAAACCATTCGACTAAATATAAATCAATAAATAAGCTAATATTATTTCAAAAGCCACAAAATACGTACTGCAATTATGAGATGAACAATTAAAAATAAGAAACTTATTTCAGAATTAAAACTAGAACCTAGAAATCTTTAAAAAACCTGATAGATATTTTGCACAACATAAATTTCTAGCAAACCAGTAAAAATAAAATTTCATACTACAGAACATACTTCACAAGATGTGCCATTTTATTTTCCATCGTCCTCTGCTTATCACGCAACTGTCTTATTTCATCTACTATGTAATTTATTTCTTTGGAAGACACTGTCACTGCATTATTCTCGTTATTTCTACTACCCGGTGTTTTCCGCTTTATGTTCACTAATAAGTCGGGATGCTGTTGGATGAAATTCGGATGTGAAAATTCCAAATGATCTTGATCACTTTCAGATCGCGTCAAACTTGACTTTTCAATCGGTGTCATTTTACGAAAACCATCTTTAAAACACTTTAATAAAGCATCGTTTATATATTAGTAAATTTTCAGATTACAAGCATATTTTTGTCATGTACTAAAACTAACATCGAGACAAAAATAACGTGAATGAATTAAGAACTTAAAACCGAATAATAACTTTAACTGTTAAAAAGGTGAAAAAATAAATATAGCATACACATATTTAGCTGTCTTATAAGACTATTCAAATTGTTGTGCTTGAAAAACTGCGGCAAGACTACTCGACAGAATAAGTGGGGATCGAGAATATGGAAACTGTATCCACTCTTAAAAAATCAACGTTTGCTTCAAAAAAATAACAAAGTATTATTTTACACATTTATTCAAACTATTTTTAACGAAGATTAATTACACTAATCCTAAATACAAATCAGTTACTTGTGTTTACTTTAAATCTTTACAGACCGCGAGTAATTACAGAAGTATTTAACATAAAGCATGAAAAAGATCCAAATATCTTCCAAAATGTCCAAATGCAGCTTAAATTTCAAAAAATGGTAACCTTGTCCCAGCAAATGATATTACGAAATGAGGGATCTTCCAAAATATTCCACATCTTCATCAAAAACATGGGTACTTTCTCCTCATCACGATAATGCTGTAAAACATGCATGGGGAGATTTCCTGCTGGTGAACTTTCTTGTCCTGGTATACTTGCACAATCTTGTTGTTGAACCTCAGATAACAACTTTGGTTGACGGGTGAAAAAAGGCCCAGTGCGTGGTGATAGTAGCGGAGGTGGCGGCGTTTCCGCTTGTTCTCGGAAGAACACTGTTCCCGGCTGAGCACTGTCGAGGCGAATTCTTTTTTTATCCATTTTTATTCCTCCGCAAAGAATCTGAACCACGAATTGTTGAAAAAGTAATTCAACCATATATAAATTTCAAAGCAAACGTCTTCTTCGAGATTTGAATTTTAACAATTCAGTACTCGAATATATATTGCTGTTCACAAAGTTTTTTTGGCCCCTGACAAAATGTGTCTTGAAAAATAAGTTTTTGTTTGTATAAAGCACTCCTTCAGAATTCCTCAGAATATATGTTTAAATTTGGACAGAAAGTAAATTATTTTTCAAAACTCTGTCATGCATCGCTGGCGCCACATGAAGTACTGTCGATAAATCTTCAAAAAAAATTAGTAACAAGCAACAAATTCAAATAGTCATTTACCACACAGCAAAGCCAGCTATATCTCCTATATCTCTAAAGTAAAAGTCAATACTGATCTATTTAGTTATCGCCAAAAATAAGTTAGTCACATAATGTTTGAGTAGGAGGTGATTAAAAGTGAAGACAGAATGAATTTAGTCTAACATTTTATTTTTGCAAGAGAAAATATAAATTTAAGTATGATTAATGCTAATTTATGCGTAATTGTTAAGGACATAATATGCACATCTAAAATTACGAAAAACTTTATAGTATGTGAAATACTCGAGAAATGTGTAACGTGGAGAAACGTAAAACGTCAACGAGTCGTACACGGCAAGCGTTCACAAGAGACAGATTGCTAAATACACACAAACTGCCAATCACTAACTTACTTTTGACTCAACAATAGGATAAAAATTGCCGCGAACAGGAAAATTTGCCCCACTGATTTTGAGCGTATATTATACTCACTTATGGCCTGGAAATAACATTTGGCATTTCAGTAAATAATATTTGATGACTGGCGAACAATTGAAAGTAGTGTTGTGATCAATCTGCAAATATAAGTAAATTTGTAACATTATTCGGGCCGCGTTATTTTTAGCGAAACAACTTGCAACTTTTTGGTCTCACAGTTAAGCGAGGAGTCATGTCAATTAGTCATATCGACTAGTGCTGCACTGATTTTGAATCATTCTGAAGAGTACGGAGAGGTTATGTCAATGAAGTATGCTGTTGAAATCAGAATTTGTAGGAAGTGCGTGAATTTTGGAACATCAAAACTGAATTGGTCTTGGACGCTGCCACACTTTGGATGCCTTAAAATCTTCTACCGATATTCAAGCACGTTCTCGAGCAAGTTGTGCCAGTTTATTCATATCGATGCTAGCAGAGAGACAAAAGTTGTGTACTCATCCATTTTATAAACCTGAATGGGATTAGACCAAGAAAGGCTTGTGAACGAAATTTACAACAGAGAAATAGAGTTTTTGAGGCATAAATGTCCTACAGTGTGTACTATTTTATGCAGTGGTCAGATTAGCATAACTGGTCGCACCAGCCAATGATTGATTGCAACTGGCATAAATGGTATACTGGTGGCATTATGTCGTCATTAAGCGAAGATATTGTTCTTAATCTCAACAATTGGCGCACTCACTCACTCTCTTTTTGAGTAGTCTGAAAGGTACTGCAATTTGTTGCTCGCAACAGGTCTGAGTGTTACATCGCCCGCGACACTTTTCATTGCGAAATGAGCACCGAGGATCAGCTTCACAAACAATATAACTGGTACGTAAATGCTTTTTGTATGCTATTGTTTGCATCTATTGATGCAAATTTGGCTCATGCAAGAAGTATTCACAGGGATTCTGGTATTTGTTGGCAATATTGATTTTTTCACTGGATAAGCATTTTATCTTTCGAATTAGATTCAACGAAACAAGTCATTGATTCAATTTGAAATTATCAAAATACTGAGGGCATCGCTTGGAAAAACTGTGCCGTGCTCTCTCACTGTAAATTTGTCGAATTGCATCACAGCGTAGTAGTGAAATAACTATAGTTTCAGTTTTATGGCATCGTAGTTTCCGTGTTTCATGTGGTACTGTATTCATAACTATAACTTGCAAATTTTGTGGCAGACATCATCGAAATTTTCTCTGTATGAAGTTTAAAATTGGAAATTAGAGAGAGGTCTTTGTAGAATGGCCGCTGTATTTAAGTTTATCTTTTCTTTCGATATCAATGTTGTAAAATTCGTTTTCAATTTTTTTTGACATAATTTTATGCTCTTGTGTCTGCTTGAGTGGTTTTCACTTGGTTGTGACCGCGCGGGTTTTCCACTTATATTCCTTCAAGCAGCATTCATGCACGTAACGCCTGAAATATCTGCAGAGTACTGTCTTGCTTGCTTGCTACTTACACACACTGGTAAGAGAGTGTCTTTGTGTTTCATTTGCTGAAGTTAATAGCTAAGAAAAATTTGTTCTGAAAAGTGAAAGGCAATGAAAAGAATTACTTTGCTAAAATATTTGGTCTTCCAAACAAATTTTTTAATCTGACCATTTGCTCAAGCATATTGCTGTGTAAATTTAATGAACTTATAGGAAATGTGAGCAGGAAAAACGAACTCGACTAACAATTCTTTTTTCAAGGATTGCCGGGGCATCTGCGGAAAGAAGTCCATGAGTAACAGTGATATGAATTTTATATGCTCCCCGTTATTTCAGTACCTAAAGCTCAATGTTTTACTATCCAAAGTGTATTTAACTAATTTTAAATTATTTTAAAAACCTAGTCTAGCTTTAAACATGGAGTCAACTATTAATTTTAATGTATTCGCTACAAATAGTTTCTTTGCTGCTTTTTGTATTGCTAAAATAATCGTGGTACTGACCTTTGCCTTGACAGTCACGCTATCATCTGAGTAAAAATTTCTAAGCAAGACTTCCAAATATAACTTTTTTGCTACTTATTGTCGTAATTCTTACCTCTGAGTATTCAAACTATCCCAACAGACAAGTAAGTAAATGCCTGCGCTGTTGCAACAAAACTTTGTGCTTCGTCAATGACATCGTCGACAATTATGGCGATTTTTCCTCCGACATCACCAACTATTGTCGAGGCGGTTTTATCATGATAGTTCTGGATGGAAGTAATTCGGATGATCGCGGAATTCCTACATCATTTTGCATCAACTAGCTGTCTTACATTTATCTCATCACTTTAACTACAACTTGGACATATAGTATAATCTCTGAACTAAAGTGAATGTATGTGGCAAATAGTCACATTTATTACTAAGAGAATAAATTTATGGAAAACAGTTTTGCATTTGCCTTCTTAATGTCTTTTGTATAGGCAGAAAATTTGATTAACGCATTAATGACAAAAGAGTAGTTAATATTCATATTTTACTTATTATTTTTTTTACATTGCATAGATTACAAAGGATTGCATTCATTTTTGTGCTATTAAATATAGGTTAATTTAATTATTGAAGCTTGTCGATTTAGAAGTGATAGATGTAGTTCAACATCCAATGATCTACTAAATTCACCATGTATGATTGCCAAACTTACTCTGTAATAATTTAATAACTATTTGAAATATAATTTCTTTTATATGAACAGATATGAAATAAACTTACCTAAGTCTTTCTGCATAACTCGATGCTCTGCGCATAACTTCTGGACTTTGTGCGACGATCACAGCATTTCGATAATCCGGAATATTGTTACAGATATAATTCAACAACAAGGACTAAGCTTGTAAATTTTCCATTGGAACAAAAAATACTTGAATTTCTTTTCTAAAATTCGAAACATATAGAAAAGTTTTAAAACAAATTAAGATGCATTAAACACTACAAAATAGTCACCTGTGTAAATCAACCGATACAATATGAGTTGCACCAGATTTACAGATCATATCTGCCACTTATTTCATTGGCAGTGCTGATCTGTAAATAGCATATAGTACTAGCAGTTGGTCTAATTTAATTTTTTGGATGAAAAATTAATATGATATGATAAACTACTTTCCCGTTTAATCATTTCTAACTGAAGAATAAGCATTCTGTAACATTTAGCTAGTCATTATTTAAGCAACAATTTTCAAAGACAGATAGAAAGTTGCCTTCCTGTCATGCGGTTTGCATTGAGTATGCCAGAAATGGCACGAGTACTGTGATAGACTTTGCATCTGAAGTTCGACAAGTGTAAGAAAGTATGAGTGTTTCCCATAAATCGTTATTTACATCCAAAAATGATATTTTTTCTCTACCAAACTTAAGATACGAAAGAAAAAATTTTTATAGTGTTTTTAAGAAATACTTTTTTCATAAAATTGTAGTTTTGGAATCTCTAATAATATGAATCCATTTTAAAATATATTTAAGTGGCATTTGCTCCAACTCAAATGCAATTCTTTGATTCAGAAATCAAATTTTTTGCTCATAATTTTTGCTTGTATCCGATTTGCAAGTAATTCTTAAGTGAGTTATACTTTTTGAAGATGTTTGCAGGACAAACACGTGCTTTCCACGTACACTTTGCCGGATTTCAACTTCTATTTCTCTGAAATTGCAAAACGGATAAGATTAATTTTTTAATACTTTGAGTTGCAGATTTTGATGGATATAATTCCGATGACACCAGTTTTAAGAGGATCTAAGGGGGCAGTATACTCAATGAGATTATCGAATATAATAATTGCAATTGAGAAAGTTTTCTGATCAGAAGTGAAACTAGA